TGGTTCACAACATGAAGCAAAGGAAAGATAAATTGAATTGCTTAATTAATTTGCTTAATTAATTAACTGACAAGCAAAAAATATTAATAATAAATAAATAAATGAAATAAAATAAAATGAATAAAATAAAAATAAATAATAAAAAAATAATTTGGTGTCCAAATCCTGGAATTTGCCAGTATTCCACCTCTTACAACATCAAAAAGTGGCGGAGGGGGTGGGGGGACCACCATCCAAAGGAAAATTTACTATAGCAAAATACTATACTCAGGAAAAAAAGGGTATAATATTAATCTGAATTTTATGTTAACATATATGGTAATCAGTTGTCAATCGATCAAATATTTCAACGTCTTTAACTCACTTCGAATGTTGTTAGGATAAAAATGAAGGTCATTAACTGTGCAATAGTGAAAATTGTTGCTGTGCTTACAAACTCGTATTTTGGAGAGCTGCTTTATGAAAAGTCCAGTATATCCCCCCTTTTTCCCCCAAACGTTTTACTGTTAATTATGAAAATGTTCATTGAAACGCCGGTTAACAACCTATCCCTTTCTTTTTAGAATTGGAAGTAAAGTCAAATCCTCATGTTAATAATGTTCACTCCCAACCATCGACTCATACATTCACTGTCTAAGAGAGGAACGAACGACAACTCTGCAATTAAGGGAGATTGGTTAATGTTATCAAAATTTTTTCTTGTCGAATCTACTACCCCCATTATGCGCGGATCTAGAGGGGGTCGGGGGGAGGGGGGGGTCAGGACCTCCCTGGAATTTGCAGAGTTATTTAAAGTATATACTGAAGAAAATCAAAAATGACTTTGGACCCCCCCCCCCTTTGAAAACGTGGACTCCATCACCACCATCACGAAATAGGTTTTTTCACGTTTGGAAAAGGGAATTTACCTTTCTTTTTTGCGTATCAGGAAATTTTCTGGGTTTGAATTTTTTTTCCGATTGGGTGGACCCCCCCCCCCTTTTGGAAAAAAATCCTGGATCCGCGCCTGCCCATGCACACGAAATAGGAATTTGAAGTTTAGACTTTTTTTTTTATTTTGCTGGTCGAAGATTTCTCAGTTATGTTTATAATTAAGGCCTTCAACTCGAAATTTGATATATCGACTACGTTTTATCAAATAACAATAGTTACTCTCATTCATATGTTGATATATCCCAATGAACTCGAAATGAATGACACCACAGAGTCTGCTACATTTATTTCATATTTGGATGTTTTACCGACTGTAGACGACCATGGCCATATAACAGCTAAACTGTATGACTTTAGCTTTTCCATCCTAAACTTCCCTTATTTGTGTAGTATATCCCAGCATCATCTGCATATGGTGTTTATGCCTCCAACAAGAGGCCCATGGGCCACATTGCTCACCTGAGCACATTGGCTAGGGGAAAAAAAGCAAAAATCAGTTTAGAATATAACGAATGGCATTGCTGTTCCTGAGCAGAAGATTTTTTCCCATATATTCATTTGTAAAAATTTGATCCCCCATTGTGGCCCCACCCTACTCTCAGGGTCTCTCATTTGAACAAATTTCATTCTACACTACCCAAGGATGCCTCCATATCAATTTTACTAATCATGGCTTTTCTGTTCTTGACAAAAAGATTTTTTCCTGTATATTTCTATGTAAAACTTTGATCCCCCATTGTGGCCCCACCCTACCCCCGGGGGTCATGATCTGAACAAACTTGAATCTACACTACCTGAGGATGTTTCCACATAAGTTCCATCTTTTCTTGCCCAGTGGTTCTTGAGAAGAAGATTTTTAAATGATGCCATTATTTTTTCACTAATTCCTAATTATCTCCCCTTGAAAGAGGGCGTGGCCCTTCATTTGAACAAATTTGAATCCCCTTCACCCAAGGATACTTTGTGGCAAGTTTGGTTGAATTTGGCCCAGTGGTTCTTGAGAAGAAGTCGAAAATGTGAAAAGTTTACAGACGGACAGACGGACGACGGACAAAAAGTGATCAGAAAAGCTCACTTGAGCCTTCGGCTTAGGTGAGCTAAAAATTAATGATACGATAGGCAGAGCATGATCTGAGAACGTTCAATTTTTTAAACCGAGGCAGGCTACTGAAAAAAAGTTGATGTTACAGAGATTTCAACAACATCATTTAGAATCGGCATTTCGCAAATTATAATGACCTTGTTTGCAAATACAACCTTTCGTTGGGTCGTATTTTCACTGACATATTTCATACCAATTGTTAGGCCTTTGTTTTCATACTAAATTTGACTACGGATTGCTCCGTCTACCTGATCAAAACTTAGGGCTCACGGTGGGGGTGACTGGTCTACAAGGGATGCTTACTCTTCCTAGGCACCTGATCCCCACCCCTTGTGTTTCCAGGGGTCAATGTTTTTGCCTTGTTCTAGATTTCTATTCGTAACTGGAGTTATGAGATTGATCACTTTAATCTTCAACCTTTAAAATATAATTATCCCCCCCCCCCCCCAACCCATGTTGTTTGAGAAATGTTGCTATCGAGAATTTTGAAAATTGTTAATATATAGACTTACATAGAGATATATAGACTTTTCCACAATATATTGGGGATGAGTAAGGAGTAATTGGGAAGCAGGAGTGAGTGAGAAGATGGTATATGTAGCCCTGTCCACCTTCAAAAGTCTATAGAGAAAATGTATAAACTGTTTTATTTGCAAATAAGATGTTAATAAACTACAATATAAATATCTAATATTTACATCCACTGAATATCATCTTTCCTTCTTAAGAAAACCGTCATGGTCGCGTTTATCAATACACAAGTCGTCTATTTAGATTTCATGAGCAGTGGCTATTCAATCAATGAAACAAGCAATACATATCGATAATATTTAACATACTTAATCTTACTTTCTATGATTATTTATACAGACATAAATATAAACAATAAAATGTCATTCTTTCTTTGTTTAATAATGGGAATCAACGTTGCAGCTTCACATACTTACGCGGGCTATGTATTTGTTATGCAACAAAAAAGCTTTTTATTGTTTAAATAAAACTTGTAAAGAAGAGTCACACAAATTTTAAAAACATAATTTGTTAATATTTTTTTTATTTTTTTTATTTATTAAACAAGTGGATAAAATCTCTAAGAAAAAAAGTTTACATTAGAAAAGAAATATCAGGCAATTATTTTTATAAAAAAAAAAATTGAAATGGAATTGCGAAATTTAAGAAAAATTGATAATTTTCAAATTTGGACCACTCTCGATCTAGATTAAACTGATCCCAACCAAAATTATAAAAAATGGAAATGTATAACAACTGCACAAGAATACTAGGTTCCTTGGGTGTAATATGTTTTACAGAAAAATTGAACATGCCAAGCATATGAATTTCTCTGTAGTAACTGCGCGAGATAGGCAGTAATTTAGTAATTATGATTTTTGTATTGGTTTTGATCTGGGTCGGTTTAATTTCAATCGGGATTGGTTCAAATTTGAAAATTTTCACAAATTCATTTCAATTTCTTTTTAAAATATGATTAATATGTATATAGTCTTTCCTTTTTTGTGATTTGTTTCTTGAGAATTTTATCCATAAAAAATATCAATAAAAATAATTGTTCTATTTTCTTAAATATTTTTATATTAAAAAAATTTAGAATGCCCCTCTGACTCTTCTTGATATGTTTTATTAGATATTTGTGCACTTATTGACGACAAAATCTAAATTCTAAAACATCTTATTTGCAAATAAAATTGTTTAAACATTTTCTCTCAGAAAATACCAAAAAAATCATATGAAATAATTAAGAGCCAATATATATCAATCTTTCCCTGCTTAAACCAATTTTAAAAGAAGTGCCATAAATATCCCTAAATAAATTTTGTTGTACCATTCCTCCTTAAGAGAGGATTCAAAGATAATTAATGCACACCATTATCACTATTGAAATGTGCTATATTGCAGAATTCTGATCTCAAGTCACCACTCGGTAATCTCCTATCACTTTTTATCAAAAGGAGCAGATTCATGCAAACCCCTTAAATTGTCACGGACTTAATATCCGTTAAAAAGTTTGTCTTTTTTAATTATTTAACTCAACCAAAGTATTTCATCCCATTTTAAGGAAAAAAAGTATTCCAGTTTAAAAAGAGAGCATTAAAATTCTAATCTATCAAATAATATGTTCAATATCAAACTGTTTCCAATATATAATAATAATTCTTTTCTTGCTTTTTAACATAGGAGACTGATGTGAGGTTTGAAGCTGCGTTTTGTGACATCCCATATGGAAAACTACAGAACATGTTTAGAATTGCCTACCCTGCCTTATTCATAGCATTCAATATTGTGTATTGGATATATTTCCTATCTGTAGACTGAAACAACAATTCAATAAAGAAGCAAATTTTTTCTTCACCTTGATCAGATACAGTTTATATAAAGTTAGTTACTATATGTATAATCATATATTTTTACACAACTCAACATACATTTCTTTCAACTGACCTTCAGAAAAATGATGTTGGATCGCAATCATCAAACACCTCATCTTTTGTCAAGTACAAATTGAAATTCAGCTTTAGAAAAATAATTTACACTTTTTACTTAAAATTCCTCCCCTGATCTTCAGTTATGATTGAGACCTCAACCGACTCAAACCATGAGCAAAAGAAAAAAAAATCACTTACATGTAGCTTGTAATGGACTAACAATCAGACAGGTTTGGGGGGATTTTTATGGGTATAAATCTGCAATTTCATTTGCCGTGTCATACACAAGTTTCATCATCAGATTTCTATAATATACTAGTACAATAAGGCATTAAAATATGGCAAAGGTCTTTAGCATTTTATCATATTTCACAATTATAGCTGAAGGCCCATTTTCTTATAAAGCACACATATAGTTTTCTAGAAATAGAGAGAACTGTGCACCACATTGTATGTTCGGGAGGAGTTGAATCCTTACTTGGGCATTTTCAAAAGCTCTTGGACAAATGACAGGAATAAGTAGCAACAGAATGCCTATAACATCATGTCTGATTTGGTTTTATTCATTTTTCTCCAGTTCATTTCAAAATTAAAGTAAATGCATCCAGACAAAAAATATCATAATGCTAAGAACTGGTTTTCCTGTGTATCTGAGGTGCTTCATCTTTTGGGTCAAACTGTTCCCAGAATTCCTCATCAGGATCACAGAGAGAGGAAGCACATTGAACCAAGTCATTTAACTGTAGGACTTTGAAATGTTCAAACTTCCTCCCACTTTCTTTGTCACAGTCTGACATTGTTGTGTTCTGAAAAATATTGTGACCAAATGATTGTCATTAAATCATTCAAAATATTTCATGATTTTCACTTTGGATATTTTACCTGTCTAGTAGATCATTTTTGATGAGTTTTTCTGTAAGATGAGATGATTTTTTTTTTTTTAGCCAATGAAACTTGTTTGTAAATAAACAACAAAAATAAAATACATGTATGCTATATTATTGTTTCTCTGAAGTATTTATATTTGATTATGCCAATATATTTTTGCAAACATAAAACTATTCAGCAAAACAGAAAAAAAAAATTGTTATAGGTAAATAACTTTTGTTGTCCAATTTTTGTTATGTTTGTAATTTATAAATCGAAATTAAAATTCATCCAGTTGTGTAGCCATTTCATTTGGAAATGAGTTTATCCATATAAATTTACATCCACTGAATATTATCTCCTTTATTTCTTTAATCCAGGGTCGTTTATCAATACTTTAATGGCACTAAGCAAACCACCTGTACAGATTTCTTAAGCAGTGGCTCTTCCATCAGTGAAACATACAATGATGTACTTATCAATAATACAATATTTAACCTTAATCCTACTTTATATTATTATTTATACAGACATATATATAAAAATTAAATATTTTCTTCGTTTGTTACATGTAGTCTGGGAATTAACATTGCATAAAAAAATTACATAATCTATGTAAGCAGGTTATGTATTTTTTCTGCAACAGTTGTTACATTAATTCTCATACTAACAACCAAAGGAAGACATTTAATTGTTTAAATAACCTCACCTGCTGATTGTGTGCCACAACAATACAGTGATTGTCCATGGTATGTTCCTCGAAAGTCCACTCAGAAAGATGCACTCCATCAACTTTGAGAAATGTGTCTGTTGTCACTACATTTTCTTCTAAATACTCTGTATTAAATGTAAAATCTAGCCGACTAACTTCAAATCCAATTCCCACACCCAAAGCTTTGACATAGCTTTCTTTAAGGCACTGAAAGAAAAGGGGGAGATGCTATAAAAATGAGGTATTTATTTTTGATAATTTGCTTTGTTTTAGTTCACCAAAGCCAAAAGCACAAGTGAGCTTTTCTGTAACTTTCAAAATTTTAATATTTATTTCCAAACCATAGCATTTTAAATGAACTTGCCACAAAGACTCTCTGTGTTAAGATGATTATAGTTTATCAAAATAAAGGTGTGATAATTCAGAAAAAGATAAGAGAAAGTTTGTCCTTTGTTAAACTTTCTTAAACATTTCTCAAGCTTTGGCTTTTGGGTCATGCTGAGGCCACAGCAGGGAGGTTAAAATATATGTATTTTGAGAATAGATAAAGAAAAAAAATTCATCAAAGCTAAAATTAGATATATGAGCCAAATATCCGTATTTATGTTCTCAGGACAAGAGTGAACTTAAAATAGCATGCCAAAGTTTCAGAGAGGAATATTTAGTGATTTTATTTATGAATCTTTGAAATTTTTTACACAACAATCTCAATGCAACATCCTCATTACTGTGGATTCTAGATCATTCAAATTATGGTTCTCATGATTAATGTCATAATGAGGTGAAGTTTTTCAAAAGTAGGTCAAACTCCAAGGTCAAATTAAGTCAAAAAGTCAAAACAAGAAGTCTGTGAGCGAATGCTCACTAGTAATAACCCCGCTGTGATGTGAATATACACTCAAATGTTGACATTGAATTCATACAAAAATGAATCCCACCATTTGGCATGCCTAAACAAAGATCATGCTAAAATTACAAGCATCTGCACTAAGCAGTTGCTGAGAAAACAAAGACAGAAATTTGGTACGGACAGACGCATGTATAAACAGGAAGTTGACATCGGATTCAAACAAAAATGAATCCCACCATATGGCATGCCTAACAGAGATTGCTAAAATTTCGAGCATCTGCGCTGAGTAGTTGCTAAGAAAACTGTGACGGAAATTTGATACGGACTGATGCACGGATAAACAGGAAGTTGAGATCAAATTCGAACAAAAATGAATCCCACCATTTGGCATACCTAAACAAAGAGTGTGCTAAAATTTCAAGCATCTGTGATGAGTAGTTGCCGAAAAAACTGCGACGAAAATTTGTTACGGACAGACACACACACAGACACACGGACAGACACACAAGGGTAAAACAGTATACCCCCCTCTCCTTTGGAGCGGGGGTATAAATATTTGTACATGTACCCAAGGAAAGTTCTTATCACAAGGAAAACACATTTTAAATATGAAAGCCCTAGAACCAACCATTCAAAAGTTATAGCCAAGGATAAAGTCTGTTAAAATTTTGCAAAAGTGGGTCATACTCAAGGTCAAGAGGTCAAATATGTTTGTACCCAAAGAAAGGTCTTGTTACAAGGAATACATGTTTGTGGACAAAGAGACAAAGAGACAGACGGACTGAGCAAAAACTATATGCCTCTGATGTTTTATTATGGGGGCATAAAAATGTAAGCTGTTTTTAGTGGTAAACCTGGTTTAAAAAGAGGTATGAATAGAGAGCTGAATTACCCAGAGTCGATAGAATGTTTTCAGCTGTTCCCTTTCCTCTGTTGATTTTTGTATCTGACTCCATTCAGATTCTGTAAACTGACGTCTCATTGTGTGAAAGAATTGTGGCACAGATGTTCCTGTAAAATATAACAAGAAAATCAGTATTCAATCATTTATTTTTGATACACAATAAACAAAATAATAATTTTTTGTTAAAAAGCTATAAATTGATTTAATAACAATTTTTTTAAAAAAATGTAAATGTATATAGAAATAATTCTAAAAAACTAGAAATATGTCCATAGGACATGAATGCCCCGTCGAGGGTATATTAGTAATGCAACATGAAAATTTGTATTAGTGTATGAAATTTGATGAGAATATCTTGAATAGTTTCTTCAAAATTGAAATTGAAATCTGAAAAGTTGGTTATAGATGATAAATTCTTGCCAAATTATGTATAAGTGTTTTGATGCAGTTGAATACTTCTCACAAATATGTATCAGCATATTAAGTTTGATAAAAATATTTTTTATGGTTTCTTTAAAATTAAGGAAAATGCAAATCTAAGAAAAGTGAGGTCAAGGTCACAGGAAAGATCAAGGTCAAATGTTTTGATGCAGTTGAATACTTCTCACAAATATGTATCAGCATATTAAGTTTGATAAAAATATTTTGAATGGTTTATTTAAAACTGAGCTAAACACTAATTTAAAATAAATGAAGTTGAGGTCAAAGGAAAGGACAAGGTCAAAAAATGTTGATGCAGTTGAAAAGGTTACATCAGTATGTATTAGCATATGAAGTTTGATAAAAATATTATGATTTCTTTAAAACTGAGTTACACACAAATTGAGAAAAGTGAGGTCAATGTCAAAGGAAAGGTCAAGGTAAAAAAATATTGATGCAGTTGAATAGCTTACATCAGTATGTATCAGTATATGAAGTTTGACCTTAATTTAAGAAAAGTGAGGTCAAGGTCAAAGGAATGGTCAAGGTCAAAAAATGTTGATGCAGTTGAATAGCTCTCATCAGTATGTATCAACATATGAAGTTTGATAACACTGTATTGAATGGTATCTTTGAAACTGAGCTAAACACTAATTTAAGAAAAGTGAGGTCAAGGCCAAATGAAAGGTCAAGGTCAAAAAATGTTGATGCAATTGCATAGCTCTCATCAATATCTATCAGCATGTGAAGTTTGATAAAAATATCTTGGATAGTTTCTTTGAAACTGAGCTTTGAACAGAGCTAAACGCAAAGTGTGACGGAAGGAGAGACGGAAGGACGGAAGACGGACATGACAAACACTATATGCCCTGACCATATTCATGGCAGGGCATAAAAACAACAAGATGTAAAATATGCACTTTGAGGGAGAAAAAATGCAGAAATATTTACATGCAAATGCATTTATAGATTTCCAATAATAATTAAACAATACTCGACCTACGGACTTCATACTTCATGACATCCACACCAATAATTCCACTTTTGGAGGCGGCCAACACAGCGTAATCCCCATTGTGTGACACATTAAAACTCAGACTTCCTTGCACTTTGTTGACTAGATATGGTTTGCCTTTCTCTGTTCTTCCAAGCTTTATTTCTTTGTATGGTATGTCTAAGCAGTCTGCAATGGCTTTATGAATCAAAAGTCTTCCAGCCTGAAACATTGGTGAAAAATTACATGCTGTCCATAAAAAAAAGTCTACATCTCAAACATCCTTCCCACTAATGTTCTATATATATAAGTGAGCAGTCCTTATCTTTAAAGATGCATGGATAAATATTTTTAACTTTTAAGGCCAAATAAAAAAATATGTGTGGTTCCGGTTACCTGACCGTCCCTATTTTATACCCCCCACCCTAAACTTTTTTTTTGGCAATTTTCATATTTTTTCCAGAATTTTCCCAGATTTCTATCAATGGCTCCGGTTTAAGTTTTAGTTTCAGCAATGATGGCCTCCTTGCAAAACATATAGTGTTAGTGTTTAACAGTATTAAATCCAAAGCAAGCTAGCATGTAGGTGTCCTCTACCAATATTGACTAGTATATTATCACACCACATCTAAATGCCACTTGCAAAGGAGTGATAGGTATTATTTAGAAAAATTAAGAAAATCTTTTTGTTAAAAAAAAAAAAAAGACCCTACCTACCTACCCTAATTTTTTTGGAGGTGTAACCGGAACCACACATATTTTTTTGTTTGGCCTAATACCCAGACAGGGTTGATCAGACAGGAAAAAATTGACAATATTACTAAATGCAGTAAGTAAACATAAATTTGTTATTGAGGTAAACAAGTTTTAAATAAAAAAAATCTACAATGGTTTGTTTGTTTGTTAGAGACAACTAATGTACATCTTAAATCATATGCATGGAGAGTGAAACAAAATGAGAATTATATATACATGTATATACTACTGCTAATAAAAGTAACTGAAATAATTCAAATTTCTACCATTTTTATGCCCCCAGATCGAAAGATCCCGGGGGTATATTGTTTTTGTCCTGTCTGTCTGTTTGTCTGTTTATCTGTTTGTCTGTTTGTCTGTCTGTCTGTTGTCAACTTTTAACCTTACCCATAACTTTTGATTGGTTGGAGCTATGACTTTCATATTTCATATGTGTATTCCTTGTGACAAGACCTTTCTTTGGGTACCATCATATTTGACCTTTTGACCTTGACCCTGGAGTTTGACCCACTTTTGCAAAATTTTATGAGACTTTAACCTTGGCCATAACTTCTGAACAGTTGGTGTTTGGGGTTTCAAACTTCACATGTGTATTCTTTGTGACAAGGCCTTCCTTTGGATACCAACAACTTTGACCTTTTGACCTTGGAGTTTGACCTTCTTTTGAAAAACTTTAACCTTGGCCATAACTTTTGAACAGTTGGTGCTTTGGGTTTCAAACTTCACATGTGTATTCCTTGTGACAAGACCTTCCTCTGGATGTCAACCACTTTGACCCTTTGACCTTGACCTAGGAGTTTGACCTACTTTTGAAAACTTTAACCTTGGCCATAACTTTTGAATGGTTGGAGCTAGGGCTTTCATACTTCACATATGTAATCCTTGCGACAAGACCTTTCTTTTGGATACCAACCACCACTTTGACCTTTTGCCCTTGACCTAGGAGTTTGACCTACCTTTGAAAAACTTTAACCTTGGTCATAACTTTTGAACAGTTGGTGCTAGGGCTTTCATACTTCACATATGTAATCCTTGTGACAAGACCTTCCTTTGGATACCAACCACTTTGACCCTTTGACCTTGACCTAGGAGTTTGACCTACTTTTGAAAAACTTTAACCTTGGCCATAACTTTTGAATGGTTGGTGCTAGGGCTTTCATACTTCACATATGTAATCCTTGTGACAAGATCTTCCTTTGGATACCAACCACTTTGACCTTGACCTTGACATTTGACTTTTATTTAAAAAACTTTAACCTTGGCCATAACTTTTGAACAGTTGTATCTAGGACTTTCAAATTTCACAGGTGTATTCCTCGAGACAAGACCTTTCTTTGGGTATCAACATTTTTTATCTTTTGGCCTGGATTTTGACTTGCATTTGAAGAAACTTTAACCTTCGCCATAAGCTGCCATACGGGGGCATCAGTGTTTCACAAACACATCTTGTTTTTTTTCTAATATATGCTCAATTCTACAGTTTCTATATGTGAGATTAATATATATATTAGTGTTGTCAACGAATACCGGTTAATCGGTTAATTGTCGAAGGATGTAAGTATCGGCTAGTAAAACTTCTACTCGGTTATTCGGATATAAGACATTATACAGTGTGAAATGTATATTTTGTTTTTAAATGTATATCAACATGTCACCAATTTTATTTACCGTAAGTCTCCATGCATTTTACAAATACGATAGATTTGTTTTGATTAGTTTTCACAGTTTAATTAATGGCTTTGATTGTCAAGGGGTATACAAGTTTCGAAGATCTGAGTACAAAATCACATTATTTATTACTTTTTAAACAAGATGGCACCCCAAAACATCAAAATCATTGAGAACTTTTCAAAGAAAGGACGATTTTAAATCCATAAAGTGTAAATATTTGGAATGGAAAAATATTAAGAAATATTTTAAAACACGCAAACAGCCAGCTAATATGGAATATTTTCCTGCACAAAGACAAACTGCTCTTGTTCAAGTGACATTCAAGAATAAAATTAATCTATTAAGAAGCTGTTTGTTTATAATTGTAAATAAGGTTCACAAACAGTGCGTGTGTTGTTTGTTTTTAATATATACTGGTATATGAAGGAAAGTTAAAATGTAGAAACATTACATTTATCACAGATACTATACTAAATGTGTATGTGCAGAGCAAGGATGTTTTCAATGTTCAAGTGTAAGTAAAAACCATCCGAGTAACCAGGTACTCGATTGGGAAAGTAAGCGAGTAACCAGTTACTAAAAATCGTGCGATTTGACAACACTAATATATATTTTTTGTTTTACCATTGCAGCTTTAGCATCTTTCTTGAAGACAAATCTTTTAATTCTCTCTCTCTCCTCATTCTGTATACACTGTCCACAAAACATCCATTCCGATCTCGTTGGCTGCCAGGCACGGAAATTAAAAGCCCATTTTATCATTTTCTAGCTTTTTGTATCTTCATTTCTCCTTTGAAATAAAAAAAAATCATTAACACATACACATTTTCTAATACAAACCATGTTATTCCTGTCAACTCTCCTCATATTAAATGTCTACAATTACAGTGATATTGAACCCTCTATACTGATTGTCTACAAGTATTTTTTTTAAAATCCTATTTTCGGTTTATAAATTATTTAAAAGAAATTCAAATTTTTTTTACTGATAAAGTTGAACTTCGGTATCTCCAACACCAATATCTGGAATGCAAAGGATATGTCGAAGTGATTTTGAAGTCTCAACTACCTATTATTTTTACCCTAGATATCTCAAATCCTCAGATATCTCTCAGTTTTTTCTCGGTCCCATTAAGTTTAGGATAACAAGGTTTGACTGTACTATAGTTTATCAAATGTCAATACAAGGATGGAGACCATACATTGTTAATCTTGATCAGAAGATAATTTAGTTTACTGCTACCAAATATTAAATTGCACTGGGTAGATATGGAAGGCTTTTTAAAATTCCATTTCCAAGGCTATTAACCCAGAAGGAGAAATGTTAAAATGGGTCACTTCAATATTAATGTGATAAAATAGTTGACATACATCCGAGGCAAATGTTTTGTTGGTGGACAGGGACCAACGGTGACAAACCCTGACAAAGGTGTATGGGCTGCTTCCAGCATATCAAAAAATACATATTTATAAAAAATAAAATAAAATAAACGAACTATTTTATATGTTTTTTTTTTACAATATTTTTTTACAGGCCGGGAGCAAATCCATATGCCTACTTGACAGTAACCCATGTCGATTTACCCAAATGGAACCCAAATGGACACAAATGGAACCCAAATGGAAATCAAAATGGACCCAAATGGAAATCAAATGGACCCAAACGGAAACCGAATGAAATATTAAATATATTTTTCGTATTATCAAGTTGTTACTTATTTAAAATGATGAAAATAATGAACTTACAAATGGAGAATATTAATTATTCATTTCTTATATATTATTTTAAACTACTAATTAAATTTCTTTAGTATTCTATATATCTGCAAAATTATGGGGGGGGGGGGGAGACAGGCCCCGTGCCCCCCGCAAAAGTTATTACAAATATAAAAAAAAGATTAATTCGTATTCTAAAATACAATACCAGAAATGAATAATTAACATTCTCCATTAGCAAGTTCATTATTTTCATTATTTTAAATAAGTAACAACTTGAGAATACGATAATATGTGTTTAATATTCCATTTGCGTCCATTTGGGTTTCCATTTGGGTCATTTGGGTTCCATTTGGGTCCATTTGGGTAAATCGACGCACCCCGTACGACGTAGAGTTTACAAAAAGTAATGAAGAAAATGTTTAGATGCCAGTATAACAGAAAATTTCTTGGTAGGAACATGTGTGCTATTTTCTTTAGCTAGTCTACACATAGAAATCACGAATATGGGATGAAAAGTTTAAGAGTAAGAGTAAGTTCAGTAACCCATACGAAGTGGAATTCATGTAGGAAATGTTTAAAGGCCGATACAACACAAAATTTCTAGGTAGGAAAAATGTAATTCCGGGAGTAGCCGAAGGTAAACTTTTCATCCCATGTGTAGACTAGCTAAAGAAAACGGGGCAACAATACTATATTGAAGGTTCTATATATACCTGCTACGAGTTGTCTTTTTTTAAAGAGGTGCAAATAAAGATAATACCAAAAAAAAAAAAATAATAATAAAATAAAAAAAATAAAATGCAACTAACTAACACGCATTATACACGCCATTTTAAATAGCTTGTACTTGCTGTGTGACATTTAAAAAATCAAAGAAGAAAAAAATACTGCTACAGAGACCTAGAAACCTATTTATGAAATGGTCAAGCCATTTGGTCATTCAAAAGTTTAAAAGAATGTTACTTTCACGGGAATCCCTTGTTATTCATTCAAAATATTAGTTTTGTTAAGACAAAACTGACAGTGGCCTACATCTTCTTTATGTTTTTGGTAAGAAAATAATCCAGGATTTTAACTGTATAAAATACTACCACAGTGAACATTGCAAAATAATTGCAATCAAAATATTTAAAATTCTCAGTTGGTTAACTTACATTTTCCTATCCCATCTTACGATCATGATGATAGTAAGATAAGAATTTAGAAATAGAAAAGGCTACCATACGGTGGCTTTGAACTGCCACTTACATCTTGTATATATACATATAATTTTTAAATGCATGTGTGTTAAATTACATTTTAAATTTTTATTTTATTTAATTTTTATTTTTTGAAAACATCGTAAAGTTCTCATCACATCGCTTTCTCTGATGGCATTTCGTGTGAGGTCAAAACTAAATATACCTTAATGAAGAGTTAACTTATCTTTCCTTCAAATATAAGATTACACGTGTAAATAATTTTAAAGCTCTCAAGCTTTATTTATAAGCATCGAATTCTTATTTTTGGATGTCGTCGGTCCTATAATAGCACCTGTCCGTGCCGACAAATTGAATATCGCGCGTTAGCACGGTTTGCATGATATTTGTCAAATGCTTATATTTACATTCTCTAATTTTCTCTCTTCATAATTTTAATTTCGTTAATCTTTATTATGAATTTAGCTCCTTTCAGAACTGGTGTGCTTAATAGACAAAGAGTTGTGACGTGGAAAGTTAAAAAAGTTAACGCAAATGAAAATTGCGAGGGAAAAAATGCAAAATTAATTTAAAACGTACAATTGATATATTTTTACAATAATCTAATTAATTAAATTGAGCCAAAACAATATACATTTTGGTATTCCTAGAGTACTGAAAATGCATATACATGTAGTTCCTACTGTGTATTCTACCGCGCAGTGACAAGGTTTAAGGAATGTTAATTGATTAAGTTTTGTGCGAGTTAGTGGTGTGCCAATCACACAGACTAAATGTCACGTAGGCATATTTTATTTTTATTAACATCTCTATTAACGTGTTTAAAAATATGTATAAAGATTTAAGAGACATTCTCTGTAATGACTTGAACTTTTATATAGGAGCTGTGGCACGCATAGTCTAAGAATTTCTCCAAACTCTCTATGGTAAAAGTCTTTGATACCGTAAACTCAAATCAGGCAAAAATTGGTTGCTACGTGTCATGGTTACCATAGCAACATGTCCTAACGTTTGAAAAATGGCATTTTTCAACATGTTCAGAGTCCCCCAGTTAACATTTGCAGCAAAGCAAACAAGTGGCAATGACTGTTTCTGAAAGTTGAAGGCCTGATGTCTTAAATGCATGATAAACATGTTTGGTAAATCAACTATTACATACGTTACTATGGAAACAAAGTATTCAAAAGTAATAATTTTGTTCATTCAATTTTATAAAGTCATATACTTAAGAATAAAAACAATTATAGGTTGAAATGCAAGCAAATAATAGACAAGAGATCCTTGTAACATATACCAAGGACGAAATATGATATTTCTTACAGGTTGGCAACGGTTGCTATGGTTTATTTACCTCGAAAGGATTTTAAATTTACTCTCTTAGTATTTAAATCTTATCCTTTCTTTTTAAAAAGCATATTTCTATATAACTGATGATCAATTTTTAAAGGCATTGGTGTGACCCTAATTTTCACATTTCAAAAAATTCAAACCCAATTCTTTAAATAGAGCGTTGCTATGGAAATTAGCCGAAAAAATATGCATAAAAATCTGAAAAATATTCTGTTTCCTTGGATACGCACCCTTATAAGTAGATTCCCAAAACGTTTATGATTGATATATATGAACAACTAACCTGACTTTGAATTTTGACTACCACTCAATCTCTAAGTGGATGCAAAAAGCTGGCACATAGGGTTTAATATTGACATAAAATTAACAAAATTGAACATTTTCCCTTCTTGGTAACCATAGCAACAGTGTTGTATTTTTCAACAAACTTTATCAATATATGATATTCAACTTTAGTTCTACCAGTTAAGTAGTATTCAAGGTGAGTCAAATAATAGGTTTCTTGATTAAAAGGTAAGCAAATTCCTAAAGGAGCAAAAAATATCACTTGAAACAACTGATACGTTGTTTCCATGGTTACAATGCAAAGTAACATTTAATCCCAATTTTTCTTATGTTGTCGGTGTTGCAAGGTTCCAAGGATGCATATGTGTTAGTCATGAATTTTATTGTTTTTCCTCAAGATAGTAGCATTAACCCAATCATAGCAACAGATTTTGCATGGTTACGCTGTGTTACCATGGCAACCATGAAAGTTATTTTTAGAATAATATTGCCAATACCTAATTACATAAGGTCAAATATTTTTTATTGTTTTTCTTAGGTTGTTGATTGAGTTTGATCATGTAACATCTATCATTGGTGAATATTGAGCGTTTTTCAGCATTTTTCAGCATCTAAAATGTATTCCAAACGTACCCATGGTTACCACTTACTAAGAGATAAATTCTAAATAGTTTCTTTATAGCATAAGTGGCAACAAGGTATCATGTTTTTGGGAGAATGGTTTGTTTGTTTTTCTTAGTCTTTATTAAGGCATAATAAAGATTCAAAGTAGCTGAAAATCTCAATTTTTTCAACTTTTCTGGCTGTTACCATGGCAACCAAGACACATAGCAACGAAATTTTATTTAATATATGTTTCTGGTGTCAAGTTGTAATAATGGGCAAAGTTTTATCAAAATCGGTGACCATGCGTGGCAAAGAAGTTTAAGTGGTTACAGAGAATCGCTATTAATACGTATTTGTAAAGAAAATACATTCCGCAGCAAAATACATTCACAGCATATATGAAAATACTAGTATGTATTTAAAACAAGATGTGTTTGTGAAACACTGATGCCCACGTATGACAGCTTATGACGAAGGTTAAAATTTCTCAAATGCAAGTCAAACTCCAGATCAAAAGATCAAAAATGTTGGTCCCCCCCCCCAAAAGGTCTTGTCTCGGGGAATATACCTGTGAAATATGAAAGCCCTAACACCAACCGTTGAAAAGTTATGGTGATGGTTAAAGTTTTTCAAAAGTAAGTAAGACATCAAAGTCAAGGTCAAATGGTGCCCAAGGCCCAAGGGAAGGTCTTGTCACAAGTGATACACATGTACGTGAAATATGAAATCCCCAATGTTAAAGTTTTTTTTAAAGTAGGTCAAACTCCAACGTCAAGGTCAATGGGCCAAAATTTTGGTATCCAAAGGAAGGTCTTGTCACAAGGAATATACATATGAAGTATGAAAGCACTAGCACCAATTGTTCGAAAGTTATGACCAGGGTTAAAGTTTTTCAAAAGTGAGTCAAACTCCTAGGTCAAGGTCAAAGGGTCAAAATTGTTGGTATCCATAAGGTCTTGTCACAAGGTGTACACATGTGAAGTATGAATGTCCTATAATCAATTGTTCAAAAGTTATGACCAAGGTAAACTTTTTTTTTTTCGAAAGTAGGTCAAACTCCAAGGTCAAGTTCAATGGGCCAAAATTGTTAGTATCCGAAGGAAGGTCTTGTCTCAATTGCAAGGTATACACATGTGAAGTTTGAAAGCCCTAGCACCAACTATTCAAAATTATGGCAAAGTTAAAGTTGATAAAATTTAGCAAAAGTGGGCCAAACTCCAAGGTCAAGGTCAAAAGGTCAAATTTGATGGTACCCAAAGAAAGGACTTGTCACAAGGAATACACATGTGAAATATGAAAGCCATAGTTTCAACTAGTCAAATGTTATGGACAAGGTTAAAGTTTTTACGGACAAACAGACAGACAGCTAGACAGACAGACAGACAGGGCAAAAACTGTATGCCCCTGAATCTTCGATTACGGGGGCATAAAAAAGAACACAGCAGCACATCTACAGTAATTAATATTTAGATCCTGGCCCAGGAGCAATAAGGTGAAGGCAGAAGGAAGGAACAGAACCTTTGCAAATACGAGGGTTGATCCAAAATTAATGTCACAGCTGATATAAAATCTTTAATAATCGAAAGTTTTCAGCAAAACTTTTCATACTAATACCTCTATCTATTTTGACTTTTTTCCCCCCTAATTTCATGAAGACTTTATAAGAAATTAAAATGAACACAACACTGGGTCTCGCCTATCGCCGTACGGCGAGAATGTACCGACGTCGTTGTTACGTTTCTCTTCGACACATTTTGAATCTGATGATAAGATTTACGCAAAAAGATATCATTTGGACAAAGGTCAAAATAATTTAATACTATTCAACCAAAAAACAAGACGGTTTATAGTAAAATGGCATAAAAATTATTAAATGGAAGCACTGAAAGATTAATAAAAAACGGTGTGCGATGAACTGAAAGTATAACGTCATAACGACGTAGTTAACATTCTTGCTGTGCAGCGAAAGACAAAATCTAACGTTGTGTTTATTTTAATATTTTAAAACGGAATTTATATAATTGAATGAATCAAAGGCGAATAACAAAATAGATAGGGGTATATAAAATTTAGTTGATAACATTAGAGTATTAAAGATTTTATAGCACTTGTGACATTATTTTTAGATCAATCCTCGTGCTTCTTCATATCACATTAACATTATAACGTTATGTAATTGTTCAACATACGAAGTTAATCATGCTTATTTATTGTATTATTGATTTTTATCAACAAATTTGCAGATTTTTACCCTGCATTTAGAAATGTTTAAAAGTATTGCAAAATGTCGGTAAATGTACTCAAATGCAACACACATTTATTAAATGCATTTCATTCAGCATTTTTTTTTGTTTACATAACACTTTAAAAATGATTTAAGTTGAACGTGATATAAAATGTTTAAAATATCGGCAATTAAACAACTCCCAATAACTCAATGGCGACTTAAAGCCGCCTTACATACTATTCTGTAAAATAAACCTGCGATTTTTTAGTTCTACTTTTTGACTTGGAATCTTGTTAACGTGTAAAAAACCACTTGAAAAAAAAGTATTATTGTCACAGAATATCAATGGACAGTTCATCTGCAATAGAGTTTGGGGCTGTTATGAAAAAGGATTGTTTTCATTTCGAAGAAGGAGTCACCTTTATAAATCATGGATCTTATGGCGCAGTCCCATTGAAAATACGAGAAAAACAGAAACAGTGAGTAGATGTAAGATTTTTAATGAAAGACAAACAAATTTTGATATATGCAATTGACCTGCTTTCACTTAAAATGGGGGATATTAATGTGGGCCTGCCTGTGCATCCGTCGGTCCATCCGTCTGTCTCTTTGTCATTCTGTCTTTAACACTTTCGTTTCCGGACGATATTTCAAAAAGCCTTTGAGCTTTTACAATAAAATTTTATATCACACCTACTTATGAGCATTGATTTTGAGGCCCAAAGGTCAAGGTCACAAATTCATACATTCTACAGTGTATCACTTTTGTTTCCGGAATATATCTTAAAAAGCCTCTGAGTTTTATATCGCAACTCGTTGTGGTCTAAAGAACCCTATTAATTTGATGTCAAAGGTCAAGGTCATTAGTTCATACATTGCAAATAACAGTTTCTAGGTTATAACTTTAATTTTCTTCGATATTTTCTCAATGAAATTTAATATCACAACCATCCTATGGCATAAAAAGACCACTATTAATTTTGAGGTCAAAAGATCAAATGTCAAGGTCAGAAAAATTCACACATTCTGTCTTTGTGTTTCCGGACGCTATTCTAAAAAGTACGATGGCCGACAGCGGCCGCCAGTTTTGATTCTGAATATTGTCATTTTGTACAGCTTTTTTGTCAATTTTCGTTGACAAATTACAACTAAACTGGTAATGCTATATGTCCACATACAATTTTTACACTGACAATTTACACTGGAGAAAATCATTAAAATTCTTTCTTGTGATATGAAATGAAGATACGTAAAACAGGTTACTTGAAGGTGATAAGCTTAAGGTTCTAGATAGCAGAACAGCAAGGTCGGGGTGATTACAGATTAGTATTGTCTTCTAGATATGCTCTCTCGACAGATTGTAGTAATTAATTCATAAAATTCCATGTTGGTGTACCTGCTGGTCACATCATAGGTAACCAGGATGAAATTTTCCAGGTCTATCAGAAATTTGATTTTGTTCAAAATCGGACGTGTCTTTGATGTATGAATTTTGTTTTTTAAACAATGCGCACGAGGAAATGATCACATTAGTTACATGTACCTAAATTTTCGTTCCCGTGCCACATTGAAAAATAATTGGCCGACCAGGTGGAAGTCATGAGAGGTTGCGTTGGCCTTTAAAAGTGTTTCAAGCATTTAGTTATTAATTTTATGTATTTAGAGAGCAAATACAGACTCCCATATTTAAGGTTGTCATTTTATTCTTGCTTAAAAATGGGTATATTTCCGTATCTAAAGTTTTGTTTTTGATACATTCCATAAACTTTTGATTCGATGTTCACATGAAGAGCTATACTAAATCCTGTTTTTTTCTACCTCTACATAATAGGTAGAATCGAGTTGTCTCATACACGTTGAGGATCGAGATATATCCATTATATTCATGTATATCCATTACAACAAACGTATTACTTTTATTTGCCTTTTAATTACAATCCCAAGAATATCTTTTTAATGATACAACAAGGTGATAGAATGACGATTTACGTCTAATCTAGGATTAACTGGGTTACGATATCTCAGACTAATTGAGGGTGAAAGTCATTAAAATGCTCCTTATCTCTTTCAAGCCACCTGTTTTATGTATCTTAATTTCATATCACACGAAAGAATTTTAATGTTTTTCGCTGGTGTAAATTGTCAGTGTAAAAAGTGTACATGTACATATAGCATTACCAGTTTAGTTGTAATATGTCAACGAAAACTGACAAAAACGCTGTACAAAATGACAATATTCTTAATCAGAAAGTGGCGGCCGCTGTCGGTCATCGTAAAAAAGCCTTTAAGATTTTGCAATGAAATTTTATATCACAACTCATCAATGTGAAATGTCAAGGTCAGAAATTCGTATAGCAAAAAATGGTTTCCAGATGATAACGTTATAGTTCTCTTTGGGCTTTTTTCACTGAAGTTATGTATCATAACTCCTAGTGACTTAAAGAAGTCATCTTTCGATGTTTATGTCAAGAGGTCAATGTCAGATTAATTAATTCACACAATCCAAAAATTGGCTTCCAGATGATAACTTTAATTTTCTTTGAGCTTTTTCAATGGAATTTTATATCACAACTCCCACTTAAAGAAGACCACCGTCGGATCCCACGGGTGAGCTCGTCTTTTACTTATCACCAAAGACAAACAAATTTTGATGTATGCAATTGACCTGCTTTCACTTAAAATGGGGGATATTAATATGTGCCTGCCTGTGCATCCGGGTGATAAGTAAAAGACGAGATCATCCGTGGGTATCAGACGATGAAAGAAGACTTCTGTTGAATTTTAGGTCAAAAGGTCCTATCTTAAAAAATTAGACAGAAACTTTTTCCGTGATATTTACTTAATGAAAAGAGAAAAATATGCAATAAAATGTAATTTTACATTCACTCTTTCTAGTAGGTCGTGACTATGACTATACTATAGGGCAGAGTGGAGACTAAGTAAAAACCTATTGTCCATTGTTCAATCAAATTTTGGTAGGATATCTGAGTTCACTATATACGTTTAACAAAATACTAAACCTAGTACATAAATCTAGTCATTAATGTTAATCTTTAATATCTTCCAGTATATTGTCGATCTCAACTTCAGTATAATAATCTAACACGATAGGAGATTGATCTCTCAATCTTTCAAAATATTTAGCCATACATTTTCGATTTTTATTATACTAGTAATCAGTATATGTAGATAGACAAAGAAAAACACATTTAACAAAATACACCATCCTGAAACCGAGCCCCTAACTACTGGATGGATATAATGCAATGTATGCCCATGTTGCAAAATTAATATTATATAATACAGTAAAACTTGTCTAATCCTGACACAACTGGTTCCATAGAAATTAGAATTTTTAACTATTGAATTTACTGAAAGGCACTTAAAGTAAAAATCGTATTATACAAGATTTCGGAATACAAACATTCGAATTGGACAAGTTTTACTTTATTTTTAATAATAATGCAAAAAAAAAAAAAAATCATGCAAGAAAATCAAGTACACCTAACTTACTAAAGCTTTAGTTGTCACATGTATGAGAAGTCCTAATTATACTTGTATATTAATTTCAACGTTCTCTGACGTACAGATTATTGGATGAAGTAAATGATAATCCCGATGAATTCTACCGACTAAAAGAACATGATCTTTATATGAGGGCCAGAGATGCTGCAGCAAAATTTACAGGGGCGGATCCTGAAAATTTGTTCTTTGTTCAAAATACAACGACTGGTTAGTAGTTATTAGTACTATATACTACAACGTACACTGGCTAAAAAGTGTTTGGTCAGCGTCTAATTAACAAAACAAAAAGGTCTACAAAATGATGATGGCAAATGTAAATAGATCAAGATTCGAATTAGTTAGATAATTTGCTCGTAAAACAACTTTAAGGTGTAAACAGTGTCCTGAAATCCTTGCAATGGCAGAATGGTGACGGAATCCTAACGAATGTGTTTACCTTTAGAGGAGTTGCGAATACCTGTCGAAGAGTGACCGAAATTTCATCGTGTGAGTTGATAAATGATTAGACTTAAAATGAGTCTTAATGTTTCCAAGTTCTTTTTTTTTATGATGCTATGAATGACTTTTTTTTACCGTAGGTGTACAAATTCATCAATTTGATATAAAACTCCCCATCAAAGATGAGCAAGAAGTTGTAAAAAGTATGACCGTACAACTTGACAAACATCCACAAGTTCGGCTGGTTTTGTTAGGTAGATACTGTTTTACACTTTTCATACTCCAGCATAATCACAGATATCGTAATTTACATTCAGGCAATAACTTTTTGTCGATCTTCTTCCAGACCACATCACCAGCCACACGGCGCTAGTATTCCCTCTGAAGAAAATGATAGAAGAGTGTAGGAAAAGGGATGTTTTAGTTTTGATAGACGGTGCCCATGCCCCAGGGCAAGTAGAACTAAATTTGGAAGATCTCCACCCTGATTTCTATACAGGGAACTTCCACAAGTGGTTATACGCACCTCGTGGATGTGCAGTACTCTGGATCTCAAAGGATCACCACGACTGGTGTACACCACTTGTGACGTCACTAATGTATAGAAAGAACATTCAGTTGGAATACTTCGACCAGGGAACACGCGACAATATACCATATTTTTTAGTACCAGATGTGCTGGATTTCTACAAACAGATCGGAGGAATGGTAGAATAATATTAAGCTACAATAGACTTGATAGTCATTCAATTACTCTAAACATCATTTTTTCCAAGGGGTGATAATTTCGCGGAAACACAATTTCTGTTCAGTCTGCGGATAGAAAATTACGCGGATTTCTTGAATTGCCATTATCTGTCTTGCATGCACTTTACTTAAAAACTGGTTACCGCGTACATAGCATAAATTAATCCCTCGTGAAAAAAGTACGTCCACGGTATCTCTGTTTAAAATAAAGTCATGAAACTTTGTTTTTGGAAGGAGAAGATCCACCAGTATACTGGACCTCTCCTGGAGAAGGCGTGTTCCATGATAACAGAACGACTGGGAACTACGACACCGGAAATACCGAAATCAATGGCGGCTCCCAACATGAGATTGATCTTATTACCAGAATATAGAGATTATACAGCAGAGACAGAAGTTAGCAGTATTATACACCTCTCCCCCCCCCCCCCCCCTGCGAAAAGCGGTATATAGTGGGTATATATAACAAGAGATATGTAGTGATGGGGTGTCCGTCCTTCCGTACGTCCGTAATATTTGAGGTAGCAATCTCATATCCGCAACTCCTCCTATACCACTGAGTAAAATTTAATCAGACTTTTAAAGAATCTTGATAACAAAGTGCCATTGTGCTATTTTATTTTTGATCAGGCAGATATTTTGGGTTTCTCACTGTAAAACATGGACACTGCCATTCTTTCTATAATTTGGGGGATACTCATCTCTTATCCGAAACTCCTTCTTTACCACTGCATAAAATTTAATGAAACTTCACAGAATCTTTATTACATAGTGCCATTGTGAACTCCTATTTTACTTTATGATTGGATACATTTTGAGCATTCCCATTATATTCGGGGGGGGGGGGTCTTTTTGTGAGCTCACTGCTAACAGTACCTCTAGTTTATAAACTCCTCAAATTGAACTTGTTTTATGAGATGGGCTGGGCACAACCAAACATTTCCAGTTTGGGCGGGAATTACCAAGCAAAAATTCCTTGACAATTAAGCAAAAAATAAAAAGGGCATCAAACGTAATTATTGATGTGTTCTCGTCTTCATAATTGATGTTTTCTATAGTATATTAGTACTATATATCGGCAAAGAACAAGGTACGGTTTCAATACAAATCTTGCCCTGTGTTTTTCTTAAAAATGAAAGTAATGTATAAAAATTAAAACTCATGCTTTCTAAATCATTGAAATTACATGCAGAAAGATCATACAAATAATTTTTCTCACATGACCTTCTAAATGCTAATTGTGACATCATAAACTTGTGCATTTTACCGTATTTTCTTAAAAAGTTGCAGAAGACACAACTTTTCAATGGAATTTTCTTTCAGATAATATTGTCCACAGGCATCGCCCACAAAGATTTTTAGATATGTGATTTTTCAAATAATTTTACACAACATATCTGAATATTAAAGTGGGCTTCAGCTGTGGACACTATTTTCTTAAGGAAAATAACCCTTGAAATGGGTCATTTTGAGGCTTTTTCTGTTTAAAATGGAGAAGTGCATCAAATTAATGATGTCATATTTCCAGAATGGTACTCTTTCATGCCATATTGTTTCCTGATTTATCACAGTCATAAAGTCAACAAATATTTAAGCCAGTTTCAAAACTTTTTGAAAACATTAAATTTTTAGAGCACAATAAAGCTAAAACCGTACCTTCTTCAAATTTAGGGGACACAGCCCCCGTGTCCCTCCCCCAGTTCCTAAGGCCGTGCAGATGTCGCCAAGGGAATAAAATGGCTAAAATACCTTAATCACAATTTACTTAAAGTATTTATCAAATTCTTTTTTTCAGGAAGGGGTGATGTTTAAAGACATAATGACCAAATATAGAATTAATTGTGCAATATTCCCAGCACATGGTCACCTCTATCTCAGGTTATCTGCGAACATTTACAATGAACTCTCCGATTATGTAAAAATAGCAGACGTACTAGAAAATTTACCCAGAAGATGAGTATGGACGATAGATGTGCAATATTGCTTTGTTTGGTCTTTCAGTTGCCAAAGTAACAGTACCCTAGTCCAAGATGGCGACCGGAAAACTGCTTCCTTTCTTTTCTGCTTGAATTACGAATGATATAAGTGTATATTACAAAATGGGTTGTTTAATTGTAATATTTTAAATACAAGCACGTAACTATAGCAAAAATTTTGCATAATTTAATCTACGCCTTATAAAAACGATATAGCGGCTAGAAAATTCGAATATGATAAGGATAAAGCAAAGCTAATCGTAAGTTATAACAGTTATACCCTACTCTGTAGCAAAATTGAAAGGAGGATTTTCTAATACGCGTTATTTAAATAAAATCTTCAAGACAAATAACAAATGCTTCTTAATAAATAAGGGCAAAATAAATTAAGAGTTCATGGCAGAAAACATTAATATTTTAAAATTAAATAAAGTAAATTGGAAGCGTGGTTGCCTGTCGCCATCTTGGAATAGGGTATCACACATTACCCTATAGTCCCTTTCTATGTATACACTACACACTTGTTATAATATGATGAATTCCTCTCTGTCAACATCTATAAGTATCATACATGTAACTTTCACTTGCATCGGTAAGAGACCATGACGTGTAAATATCATCATTGCAATGTATAATACTATAGGTATTGTGTTATATTTGATAAAACATTGATATTCAAAATCTCGTCATATATATATATTCGAAAACTTGTGATTCATATTCAAATTTTTGTGATTTTATTAGAAAACTTGTGATTCATTATTTACAATATTGTTATTTATATGCGAAATCTTGTTAATAACATTCGAAAAAGTTGTTATTTCATACTTTAAACTTGTTATTCGTGTGCAAGAACTTGATTATCTTGTATAATTTATATGTCTTGTGATCCATTGCCTAAGTGAGAGTTATATCCGAGAAGTTGTTATTGATAGTTTAAAACTTGTTATTTGTGAGCAAAACCTTGTAATTTTATGCAATAAACTTATAACTTATATAAAAAATTGACATTTTTTCACAGTTCAGTCTTAATCCAATCCTTGTATAGTTTTGTGTAGTCTTTATTACTAAACAAGGAGAAATACTAGAATACATCTTTGATTCTAGACTAATGCATTGAAACATATCTAGTTATTAGAGAAACCATAGAGTGCAAAATGATATTGGAAACTCTATTTGCGTCCAAATAGATGTAAGTGTAGTTCAGATAGTTCACTTACCACGCGGAAGTCTAGCCAGCAGAAATTACGAGCGTGAGAACACAACATTTTGATGATCTATTAAAGAGTACTATTATTACACCATTAGTCTATGTGAGAAGGAAAATGAATGACCTTTTTAGCGTTCTAAACACAATAAACATTTGAAACATTAAAATAGAATACTAAATCTTTTGCAAAATAAAATCTAATTTTTATTGTTGTAATTTTGACGACTTACTTATGTATCTATGAAGTCAAATTAAAATCTCCAACTCATGAGATTTTTTTTTATGCAGATCTACTAAATGAATACAAAATAGATACAAGGTCACAAATGGAAATATATACAAAACACTAACAATGACCAACGACACGAACAATAGAATTTTTTTTTTTTTTTTTTTTTTTTTTTTTTTTTATTTTATACAATTTTACATGTTTAATTTGGAAGTTGAAATCCAATTTCTTTGAAATAATTCCGGACCTCTGTGAAATACGTCCTGTCTGGTGTACTCTGGAGAAGTACGATTTACACAAATGAACGAATTAATTATCACTCATTAATTACGACAAAGTAGTAAATCGTACAATGTTGAATTCTCTCAAAATACCTTATCTATAAATGCTGAAAAAAATTGAAAGATAGGAGGGCAAATTTTCATATTTATTTTGGATCTCTAATAACTTTTCTTTAAAACTGTTTTATCGGATAATTATAGGAATAGTTAACAAAAATGTAAGCAATAAATACTAATTTGGGTTATTCAAAAATTGAAAATGTGAGATTAATTGTAAAGTTTACACTATTTGGAGAGAATAGTCTTGTTTATCAAAATCAGAAATTAGATTTAGTTCACGTTCTTCCTGGTGAAATCATTTAGTTTGTTAATACCATTAAGGTGGAAGGGCATCAGTCTGTGCATCCAGAACCTGTCCTTTCTTTTTTTCTATGAGCATCTGTCCATTTTGGGTTATGGTCAATAACACTATTGTCATGTCCTATTTTTGACCTTGTGTCAATCAAACGCGTCCCGAAATTCTAGTTTTAATGACTTCCAGATAAAAGAAGTTTCTAAGCACGCTTTTATTATATTTCGGTGTGAAATGTCTAGCAAGTTCTAAATCATGATATTATACTAAAAATTTTTAGAAAATGTTAACTTCAAATCTGTATCTCAGCCCCTTTAAGTTCCTCTGCCGCCTGTATGCAGCCAATTAATGGAGGTTCCTTAAAGACCTCCGCCATTCTTTCGTTGGAATAAAGAATTGGAAATTTCTTTTTATAAATATCATTGAGGTTCTTAAGGACAGGAGAGTAAGTGGTTAGCAGTGGAACCATGCTGCTATTTTTTCCTCTTTGTACAAGTTTTGTCCGTCGTATTCTATATTATCTCATCAATAGCGGTTTATATGGTGTGGGCTTTGTAGTTCTCTTGCATAAATGGGACTTTAGGAAATTGCTTTGAATCTACACTACCTAAAGATATGACTGATCATGGCTCTCTGTTCTTGAGAAGATTTTTCAAGATATTCTCTAAATATTCCTATGAATAATTTGATCCCCTGCTGTTGCCCCCTACCCCCCCCCCCCACCCCCCGCCGGGTAGTTTCGGTGGGGGCCATGATTTGCACAATCTTGGAACTACACTACATGAGGATGCTTCTATATGAATATGACTAAACATGGCTATGTTCTTGAAAAGAAGATTTTTTAATGATTTTACCTACATATTCCCATGTAAAACTTTGACCCCCTGTTGTGGCCCTGCCCTACCCCTGGGAGTCGATCAGGATTTGTGAAAACTTGAATCTACACTACCTGAGAATACTTCTAAATTCATATGACTAATAATGGGATTGCTGTTCTTGAGAAGGTCAATTTGCTACAGATTCCAATGTAAAAAATTGACCCACTGTTGTGCCCCGCCCTATCCCCCCCCCTCCCCACGGGAGGGGGGGATAGTTATGATTTATACAAACTGCTGCTCGTGTGAGCTAAAATGAATTCCTCGAGTCTGTCGCAGCACTCCACCCACTTTGAATACGGTGGGGTGCATATGGGTAAATACAATTTTCAATTGTATGACATTTTTTTGAAAATAATGTTTATTTTATGAAAACTTTTTTTTTTTTTTTAGAAAAAGACCTTATCAAAACGTTTTCTTTGATTCAAAAGTGTGTCAAGGAGTGTATTATCGTACTGATTATAAAACATGATTTCACATAGTTTGGGCACAATATAACCTCAAGACATACATACTTGAAAAACTGTAAGTAAGATGCAATTCATTGTATAATTCATTTGAAGTTCTAATTTTAATTAACCTTCGCAAATATTGTTTGAATATTTGAGTACATGTATTTTTAAAGAAAAGAAGGATTCAAAGGGGGTATGTGTTTTGTGTCATTTAAGTATTCATATTAATTAATTTCATAAATTGATTGAAATTCTCTAAGTTTGGATTTTCGCCCCCTTTACCATGCCAATAACCCCACTCGTGTCATTGTTCAATGTAAGAGAACTTCTATCTTTGAAATGGAATTTTTAACTGAAAAAAAAAATATTGAATTGATTCACTAATTTTCTTTGGAGAAAAGACATTTTTATAAAGTTTTATAAAATTCTGTAATTAAGCTTTAATTTACTCTTAAGTTAAGATTCCCTTGTCCAAGTCAGATTATAAATATGAATATCAAGAGTATAAATCGACATTCCAGAAGACCTATGGACTTATCAACAACAGAATTTGGAGCTGCCATGAAAAAAGAATGTTTTCATTTTGAGGATGTATTCACTTTTATAAATCATGGTTCCTATGGTGCGGTTCCTTTGCAAATACGTGAAAAACAAAAACAGTACGTATTTAACATGCTTTAGAATTTTGTTATGACGGGTCATAAGATGCGATTGATTTGGTCTATAGTTTCCTAACGTGGCCTCACTCTTATTGTCAGTTGTATTATAGATGTCCTTTATTTTTTGTGTTAAGAGTGTGGATTATCTGTGCATAATTCATACAGGTCTTTTTTCAAGACATGTTACGCCTACAAAGTTAAAAAACAAAACAAACAAACAAAAGAAACATATATTTTTTAAATCAAATAATCATCAATAATACCTGTACCAAATTAAAACAAAAACTTTTGATAAAAATATTGGTCGATGATTATAAACAAATCAGCAAAATACATTGTACTAGTATGTTTATACGAATAACGTCAAGCGTTTCAAAAATGGGGTAACTACCCCAGGCACTACATACATGTATAAGGCGGACTGGGAGGCAGCAGAGAAAGTGATACTAATCTATCCCCCCTCCTTTGCCAAATTTATTTAAAAGTCTGTGGTTTTCATGGTTTACTTACAGCTTACTCAAAGGGAAAGGTTAGGATTTTTTAAAAATAAAATTAAGATCATTTAGCTTTGAGAAGTATAAGGATCACAAATCACATTGTAGAATATATGCCAAGTATACAAATAAATGTTTTCTAAGCAAATGCAAAGTATACGTGTATTGCGAGTATCTTTAGCGTCATTAGAAATGATAGCTAATGTTTGTAGACGGTATCAGTCAGATACGAATTTAAGTGAATTTTCCGACAGAATTACTCCAAAAATTACTAATCAAGATATTAATTGCCTTCTCTGAATACTCAATAAGGTGCAATGAAATTTTTGTGTCTATGTAAAAACCTACAGAAACAACAAAAGGACCAAGGGCCTTACCGGTCACCTGATACATTTTTACTGAGGTTTGATTAACAGAGCCCCGCATTAATACCAGAACTCCTGACCCAGGGGTCATAAATTTAACAATTTCGGAATAGGCACCCTTGCTCATTACAACCATGCACTAAGCTTGTTTGCTTAATACAACGGAGCAGAGAACAAGATTTTAGAGAATTAATGCATTTTCACTACATAATCAATAGAGCTCCGCCTTAACAGCTTACACCAGAACTCCTGATCCGGGGGCCATAAATTTCAGAATTTCGGAGGAGGCATCCTTTCTTATAACCATGCACTTTGTTTGCTAAATACCCAGGGGCAGAGAAGATTTTCAAAGAATGTATGCATTTTCACTACTAGTGTATGATCAAAAGGTCCCCACCCTAACTCCAGAACGCCTGATCCAGGGGCCATGAATTTCAAAATTTTAGTAGAGGTGTCAATGTTTATTACAATCATGCCAACAGTTTAAGAGCTTGACTGCATTCATTTTGATGGTTTTATAGTTCCCCCGGGGGGGGGGGGGGTGCAGGGACCATGAAATTCATATATTTTTTCCTCTTCACCCATAGATGCTATATGCCAAAAATACCAGTAGCTGAAATTTGTTTAGCGGTTCCAGAGAAGAAGCTGAAAAATATCAATTGTTAACGCACGACGACGGACGAACACAGATTGCAATAGATTACCCGAGTGATCAGGTGACCTTAAAAACCAGAGAGGTGTAATATGATTGCTGGAAAAAGGCTTTTGTGTGAATAGATGAAGATATTATATATTACTTGAAAATTGCGCTTTCCAATGTTTTGATTTTAATAACTATACCTGTAATATTTGTATCTGGGGTTGTACTTATATAACCGCAAGGCATCTGTGTGATCTTAGAACTCATTCTTAATGTCCATATTTGGTGGTCAATGTGTCAGAAGGCATAGTAAATTTATCGATTAGGACCAGAGGAGGGGTACAAAGTCACAAAGTTTAGCTGTATTTTCAAAATCAACATTGGAACACATGATAATACTTGTGCAAGCGGTTTTGGCCTGTCACTAGCGATTGGTTAGCTTGTCTCTCCAACCCCTCGTCAAATATGTTCCTCATTATATGTACATGTACCACCTTTTCTTTTCTTACTTTTCCTAAGATTATTGGACGAGTTAAATGACAACCCGGACTTATTCTTCAGACAAAAGGAGTTTGAGCTCTACATCAGGGCTAGAGATGCAGCGGCAAAATTTGTAGGAGCGGATCCAGAAAATTTAGTTTTTGTACAAAATACTACAACAGGTATTTAGTTTAAAACACGCGTCATTTCAATTGTTGATATCATGAACTCTTTCAAAGAGAGCAGCAATATTAATGCAATTATTGCGTGCATCAATTTAACAGATCAATTGATGATATCAAATATTTTGGAGGTCCCTTAAAAATCTGTTGGAGTGCCATTCAAACATCAATTCAAATAATTGAAGATATCTTTAATTATTTAAAGATACCTTCAAAATTATTTGATGCGCTTAACATTTCATTGAAAAATCTTTTCAAATAATTAATATCTTTAATTCTGAATTATTGCGCGCATGCACGCGTGCAATAATTCAATTGAAGAGAGCAATAATTCAATAAATGCGCACAATAATTGAATTTAATTTATTCTCTCTTAAGTTGTATTGATATAATAATTAATGATATGATTATCAATGATATATTTGATTCAATTAATGTGTGCAACGATCATTTTAGGGATATTTATTTTGTGATATCTTCAATTCAACATATCCATAATTCAAATAATGATTTCTTTAATAAATTGTTGCTCTCTTTAAGGATTGATATGCGCATTGTTTCTTCTCACAGAATCGTTGTAAAATAATAAATGTTATTTGAGTTAATATTAACTATAAACCTGGGATAGTGAACATTTCATATCACAATTACTATCAGACACTTAAGATGATACTCTTTGTTTAGCATTCCGATTTTATATGAGACTGCTTTGATTGTATATACAAATTTGTTTTTGGTTTCTTTATTTATGTTGACTGTATTTTTATGCTCCCGTAATCAAAGATTCGGAGATAAATTGTTTTTGATCTGTCCGTCCGTCCATCTAGCTGTCTGTTTGTCCACAAAAACTTTAAAATTGCTCGTAACTTTTGAACAGCTGGTTCTAGGGCTTTCATACTTCACCTGTGTATTCCTTATGACAAGATCTTTCTTTGAGTATCAACATATTTGAAATTTTGACTTTGACCTTGGAGATTTACTTTCTTTTGAAAAACTTTAACGTTGGCCATGACTTGAACGGTTGATGCTATAGCTCTCATACTTTACGTGTATTCAATGTAATAAGACCTTTCCTTGTGAACAAATATTTTTGACCATTTTACCTTGAAGTTTGACCAACTTAAAAAAATTACCATAAGTTTTAAATGCTTGGAGCTAAGACCTTCATATTTCACTCGTGTATTCAATGTAACAAGGCATTTTCTTGCAAGGTACCAACAATTTTGACCTCGGATATATATGGAATTTGACTTACTTTTGAAATGCTTAATCCTTGATCATAACTTTGAAATGGTTGGTACTAGGGCTTTAATATTTCACATGTGTCTTTTCTTGTGACAATTTTTTTTTTGGGGGGGGGGGGGCTACCAACAATTTCGACCTTTTGACCTTGGAGTTTCAACTACTTTTGAAAAAACTTTAACCTTAATCATAATTTCTGAATGGATGATGGAAGGGCTCTCATATTTCACAGGTGTATTCCTGAAGATAAGACGTTTCTTTTAAATTAGCTAGCAACAATTTTGACCTTGAACTTGTAATTTGACTTGCATTTGAGAAACATTAACTTTTGCCATGAGCAGCATTTGAGAAACCTTAACCTTCGCCATGAGCTGCATTTGAGAAACTTTAACCTTCGCCATGAGCTGTGTTTCATATCTTGTCCCCCCCCCCCCCCCCCCGTAATCGAAGATACGAGGGCATATAATTTAATTATGCTCTGTCCGTTCATCTCTGTCTGTATGTCTGTCTGTCCGCAAAAACTTTAACCTTGCCCAAAGCCTTTGATTGTTTGAAGCTATGGTTTTCATATTTCACATGTGTATAATTCCTTGTAACAAGACATCTCTTTGGGTAGCAACATATTTGACCTCATGACCTCGGAGTTTGATCTACTTTTCAATATTTACCAAACTTTAATCTTGGCCATAACTTGAACGGTTGATGCTTAAGTTTTCATACTTCACATGTGTATTCCGTGTGATAAGACGTTTCCTTGGGTACAAATATTTTTGACCTTGGAGTTTGACCCACTTAAAACGAAACTTTAACTTGGCCATAATTTTTGAATGGTTAAAACAGCTTTCATATTTCACATGTGTATTCCTTTTGAGAAGGCCTACCCTTAGATACCAACAATTTTGAAATATTGACCTTGACCTTTGAGTTTGACCTTCTTTTTGAAAACTTAAACCTTGGCCATAAGTTTTGAACGGTAGTGTTAGGGCTTCCATATTTCACATATTTGGGTACCAATATTTATCTCTTGACCTTGGAGTTTGACTTGCATTTGAGAAACTTTAATTCCCGCCATGAGCTGCCATAGGGGGGGGGGGGGAGATCAGTGTTTCACAAACATATCTTGTTTTTTTCTTCGCTACACACCTTTACCAGGTGTCAACAGTGTACTGAAGTCATTGTCATGGCAGAGAGGTGATGAAATCTTAGCGACTGTATCCACCTATAAGGCTGTAGCCAACGCCTGTCGACAAGCGGCGGAAGTTTTGGCGGGTAAATTTGCCATAAATGTAAAACACGCCATTGATTTCAGAAGTTAAAACTTGTGTTTTCCAACTACGAACTGATTTAATTGACATTGAAAATTTTCTCTGTAGGAGGAGAAATTCGTCAATTTGATATCAGGTTCCCAATCAAAGATGAACAAGAAGTGGTGGAAAGTATGACAAATCATCTTGACAAATACCCAAAGATTCGATTGGCCGTTATAGGTACATCATTTTTTTTAAACTGACTGAAAATGTTGTCCTAGCTTTAAAAAGTCTGTTATACAGTTTATACCCTTTTGGATATTTAATCATTCACGATATTTGTTAAATCTTAGAAGCTTTTTTATTTTCTGTCTGATTTCAGACCACATCTCCAGCACTACAGCACTTGTATTCCCTTTGAAGAAAATGATAGCAGAATGTAGAAAAAGAGGCGTACTAGTTTTAATTGACGGTGCGCACGCCCCGGGGCATGTAGAAATCAATCTAGAAGAATTACAGGCCGATTTCTACACAGGAAGCTTCCACAAATGGTTGTATGCACCCCGCGGCTGTGCAATACTTTGGATCTCAAAACAACACCAGGATTGGTGTACTCCTCTTGTGACGTCAAACAATTATAAAAAGGGCGTTCAGCTGGAATACTTCATACAAGGATTACGTGACAATATACCATATTTGATAGTACCAGATTTACTGAAATTTTACAGAGATATCGGAGGAATGGTACATATATGTATAAGCTAAAGCCCCTTTTCAATACTTTACATGATTTATCTCAAGGTTCATTGACCCTCTGATAAGAGGGATAACTCTAACTTCAAAAAATGACTATTATTGATTTCCTTTAGGAAATACTCAACTTTTAAGACAATTGCTGTAATGTCTTGTCCCACAAGACATGTCAAAATTGTGTGTATTTTAAGTTTAGTACAATCCATTATTAAAGCAAAATCTTATATAAGTGAACACAGGTTTAATCAACCTTGAAGCGTTCTGAAATATTAAAGTCTGGTTTTGGATGTTTAAATTTTTTTTTCTTTGTAAAGGAAAGAATTCATAAATACACTGGACCTCTCCTGGAGAAGGCGTGTTCCATGGTCGCGGAGCGACTGGGGACTACGACACCAGAAATACCGAAATCAATGACGGCTCCCAACATGAGACTGGTCTTATTGCCAGTATATAAAGGATACACAGAGGGAACAAATGTAAGAATATGTTGTTACTTAGGAAGTTGATTTTTATTTGGTAACAAACCGGCAAACTATGTTAACAGAATACCATAATTTCATTGTTATTTGATGTTTGAAGTTTATGTCCAGTTTCCCATAATATGAAACCTAAAATTTTAAACACTAATTCAATATTTATCAAATTAAAATATTTTCTAAATAATAAAGAGTTCTGAAAACCCCATGTTGAATCACTGGATTTCTTAGAATGTCACTTTATGCTGCAAAGACAACTTTTCGTATAAGCTTTCTTCAACTCAAGACCTTCATCTAGTGTCTAAACTGATATTTTCAATTAACTGTAATGACTGCAAAATTAAAATGATTCTTGTGTAGTAACATGGCGATGTGTTTTTTTTAAATTTGCTTTTCTTTTGCAGGAAGTGGCAGATGAATTGCTACTGCACATAATGACCAATTACAGACTTCATTGTGCAGTATGCCAAGCACAAGGACAGCTGTACCTCAGACTCTCTGCCAACATATACAACGAACTCTCCGATTATGAAAAAGCTGCTCACATTCTGTGTAATTTACCCCGAGATTAAATTATGTGTAAACTGAGAATCAACACATATATTGAAATATGCTCTCTCCTTTGCACAGCAATGTGCTTTACTCAGACATGCGATAAATTTCTGTTCTAGGGAGATCATCATTTTCTCAATTTCTTGGCTAAGGTGACCAATTGTGATAGAATGTAACATACATTGTCCAAAACCTGTAACGCTAGATCTTACAATCTTAACCAGAGTAGCCTTACAATAAGTTCAAGGTATAAGGAGACAAAACAATTGAAAACTCTCTCTTGCCTGTAGGCTATAGCATAAGTCCACCTATTGATGTGCTTGGTAACGATTGTAGATACTACAATATTAGAAAATACAATCAATACTAATTTAGAAGAGGCATATCCTTTCCTTGCATTGACTGTGCAGAACTTGGGGAATCTTATAAATACCACACTAAAACACTCCAATACATGTACAACCACTGAACTCGGCATTTCCCAAAAATGCAGCACTGATACATGTATATTTTCATTTTCCAGAGTGTAAAATAAGAACACTACAATGTTTCATTTTTTTCCTGGTTTATTGTAGAAAGACAATATTGACAAAGAAAGGGACCTTCTCAAAATATTATTTACTGACAGAAGTTTATTGTTTACATTAGAAACATTTCCCCCTTGATGTTAAAAATTTGCTGTATCTAGGAAAGTTTGGCACATGATACATGAAGTGAAGGCATTATAAAGGTGAATAGAATTCAATTACAAATTTGTAACAAAGACATCATAACTTACAGAAAATTGTAACTGAATCAATTTGCTTATTTTCTTAAAATAAATCTGTATGTACATAAATTTATAGGACTGCATTAAGCAGCTAAAATCTACAACACTTCATTTAAATTAACATTAATGCCTAAAATCACATATTCTTTGTTGTAATGGATGGACTATCGATTGAAACACAGAATAAATAATCTTACTCTAGATTCTACAAAAGAATTTAAACATGGACTCAGATCTCTACACAATTACAATCTTGGTTTGAATTAAATTATGACAAGAAGACATCTACGGACAAAAACATTGTAAGCTGGATGGGTTTCATAAGATAGCACCGTTTGAGCGAGTTTTCACATCAACACAGGAAGTGGTGTAAACCCTCTCAATAGACAACTGGGTTTCCAAGGAAACAATATTCAAAACCATTGGTGATCCCTAATGGATGCCATTTTGTAAACACTGATGTTGTCACCTCTGACTAAGAATATTGGCAGAATGGTTTATTTTGCATAGAACTACTGAAAATTTAAACAGAATAATCCCAAGAGCCCCAGGGAAAAATACCCAGAAAGACATTATTTTAACATATTAAAGCTTCTATTTGCAAATTGAGTCATTACCACACTCATTTCATTAAAATGTAAACATTTGTACATATAGATCACATGATAAAATAAGTCATTATATATTGATGAAATATGACACACATAGGCACTACATATAATACATATGTACTTGTATACATATTCTGAAAAATGAGTTACATATGAAAGGCTAAAACACAATGTCCATGCAGAAAAAATGTCATACCACAAAATAATACATATCTGATAAAAACCTATCTACAAACAACTATGCTTTGTCACTAAAAATAAACAATATTCATGATACATATAGATGTAAAAATTTGTTGTAAAAAAAAAAATTGAAAAAAAAAACCTGCTTTGTTCAACCTATTTCCTTGGTTGGTGGTTTATTAAAATATTTAATTACTAAAAAAACAACCTTTCTGTCCACAATCACAAATTTCTATATACTGAGATGCAAAGTGAGGTAAAACTTGAGTGAAAAATTCCAAAATAGTTCAATCAAATATCAAAAGGCTTCCAATGTGAATGTCAAAAGGCTTTGTATGTAAATAAACTTGTCATTTTCTACTTCCTCCTTCATAAGTGGTAACCAAAATTTGGGTGCATTTATTGAAATTGGTTTTGGATTACTCAGTATTTGCATCCAGTTACCACCATTTTAATGTAAAATTACAACCCATTATACCTTTCTGGTTTGCATTCTCTCAATGCTGATCATAAATGCCTTGACCTATCAAAAGGACCATCCAGGCCCCTACAACAGACTGGATTTTACAATAATCCACACAAACTTGAGTATTAATATGCTTACATGTATAAAAAACAAATCATCTACAACTTGACCAAAAAAAATTTACCATCACATATCATCAGTTATGTGATGTTCTGTACAATATCCATGGTAAAATACATTGTAAGATCTACCGGGTTTTTGTTCTAAGATCTCTGTTCACTACTGCGAACCAGGATTTTCGATTCCTATGTTCTTGAAGCACCCATCAGGTAGAGATTCTTTGATTTCTTGTATATTGTCCACCTCTTTCTTGAGATAAGATAAATCTTCCTCGTATTGAGCTACGAGCTGCAGAATTTTGTCATTGGCTGTCTCTAAACTATTGTACTTTTCTTGCAGATCTGTCCCCATTAACTCTTTTTCTGCTGCGTCTAGTTCTTTTTCCAATTCATCTAGCTTATTCACATCCACATTTACTAATTGACCTTAAATATAAATCACACGTTTATTTTATCAAAACTGCTGACTCATTTATGATCACATATATTTCCTGACTGACCTCAAATCAATGTAATTTCAAATACAGATGATTCAATTTTATTTTGATCTTTAATTCACCTTATTTCAAATGAAAGTAATTTAACTAGAAAATGTTCTTTCTATAAGTACGATTAAAGCAAGGAGCAGCTTTTTAAAGACACGATTATCAACATGTATGAAAGCTACAGCATTTGAAAAAAAAATGTACTATCTCAATTAACCTAGTTGTATTCACCTGCAGGGTTCGACACTAACTTTTTTAGGCTTTAGTCCGGCCGGACTAGTGCTTCTTTACTTTTACTAGTCCGCAAGCAATTTTATGAGTCCGTCAAAAAAAGGAAACATCAATGTTTTGTAACATTAATTTAAAAACAAACATTTCAATATACGTTTTTATACTTTTTTAAAAATAAACAAAGCATTTACGTGAAATGGTTTATTCTGTAGCACAGATTCGTTGAAATCTCGCGATCAACAAGTACGATCGTATTCCCGATCTCATTCTTTTTCTCTTTACATTACATCCAAAATGTCTGACATCTTTCTTTTCTGTGTTATATAAATTATAATCGCTAAAACGTTTTACTTCATATAAATCAGTCGAAAAATTAAGCGCTGACTCGAAATTGTGTAACTACCCGCCAAGAAGGTAGAAAGCTAAAAATAAATGTGGGGTTTTCCAGTAAAAGTCGTAGAGAATCGGACATTGGTAAATTATTCATATTGTTTTCCAGGAATTTTTATTGGTCCGTTCGGACTACCGTAATTAACCGCAGATTTTATAAGTCCGAATGAAAATGTATTAGTCTCAGACTAACGGACTAACTTTAGTGTCGAACCCTGACCTGTGGCTAACAAATTCATAATCAAATTTAAGTTTGCTATAATTTTCATTATACTTGTAAATGCACATCAGATGAAAAATTCTTAAATTCTACTTCAAGAACCAAACATTTTTTAAAATTTTTTAACCAATTCATACCTAGAAGAGTTGAAATATTAGTAACGGTCTCTAGAGCTTTAGTTACATCATCTGACACTTTCTTGGCAGTATTCTTGGCTTCATCTGCTTTTCCCAGTGCCTATAATACATAATGGATATATGAAATAACAAGTGACAAGTGACACATATACTAACACAGCAAACCACCCAGAACTATCAATATTTAATCTCTACAAACCTCTCCTGCAAGCTGTGAGTCCGCAAGAGCTTGGTTTTCATATTTAGCCAATTCTTGCTCGGTTTCAGACAGCTCATTGGACAACATGTCTGCTTGATCTTTTAGACTGGTGGATCTAACTTTGGTTGTTTCAGATTCCAGACGAATTCTGCTGGCCTCCTAAGAAAAGTAAAACATATTATTTATCAAAGCATAGTCAAAGACAAGATACTATGATATCCATTGATGAAAATTACTGACAGAACCAAGTACATACCATATAATGTTTTTTTCTGTGTATCACAATTTTTGCAAAAATATATACCAAAACACTGTTATTTTTAATTGGTGTAGTTCTCTTTTTGTGATTGTTCTAGTGATTTCATAGTTATCTATGTAGTCTATACTTTACACAATCAGTGACAAATTTATGGGAATTTAATTTTTTGCGATCAAAAAAATGCTCACAAAGAAAGCAAACATTGGACCATCACAAAAAATAACTCCTTATATGGTAAATGTACCAGAGATAATGACAATAAACTTACTTTAGAAGCATTAGTGGCAGTAACTTGAGCAAGCTGAGCCAATGACAAGGCTTCATTAGCATCAGACTCCGCCCCACTGAGAGCATCTCTGGCCTCCTGAGTCTTGTTCTCGGCTCGTTTTATGAGGTTCTCAATGTTGGGAATTTTCTGTATGGCTTCCTGTGCTTTGCCCTTGCTCTCTTCCACTTGTTTGTTAAATCCTATGAGTATTGGAAACATAATGCACATCAGTTATTCTCAAATGAAATTTGCATTGTAAAACTGTAGTTACATTCTTACATGAATTTTAACCACCTTGTTCATCAATATCACAAATGTAGTAAAACTCAATTATAGCATATGGCCAGGAACAGTCATATTTAAATGGAAATTTATTTTTCACTGGAACAATAATTTAGCAATTCTATTCAAGAGAAGGCAAAAGATATAAAATAAGAAGTGTCAAAAGTCCAGCACATACCCAGTAAAATCTGCAGGGTCTCATTAGCCTCAGCCAATGTTTTCTCAGCTCTGGCTACTGCCTCTCTAGCCATTGTTCTGGCCACATCAACTTCTGCTAACAACTCATCCACTTTCTATAATAATAATCTTGAATATTTTAGTTCAAAACCTGTACATTAAGTTTACAGTCTCAAGAATCAATCAAAGACATGTATCATTGATTAAGGGCCTAAAGCTCCCCTGAGATCACAATTAGTACATGTAAATGAATGAACATCTCAAGAGTTTATTTAAAATTTCCAATATACATCTGTATTGAGGATTGATTCAATTTTACCAATTGCAGTCTTTTTATTCTTATGCAAGTCTACATAACTTTGTTTGCCAGTTTTCCTCCAAACCTACTTCTTGAAGTCATGTTTTGAAAAAACACTACATAGAGGGGGCTGCATTTTAATATGACCAATTCAGTAATTGTGGGGCCTGCTCTATTGAGAAGATACATTTTAAAATTTCTATTTTAAAAAAATTATATTCTGATGTAAAACTTCATCCCTTATTGCGACCCTGTCCTTGTGAAAAAGTTTACAAACATTACATGAATTACAAAGGTCTCTTTTACATGTATCTTTCCTACAAACTGAACAAGCAGTAAATCTCCCTGTAAGCCCAAAAAACCTCTAGCAACCTAACACCTATGTCATTACCTGTTGATTTCGAATTCCAGAGGTCAGTAACCCCTCAGCTTCTGATCTCTGATTAATGGTATCATTCAGAAGTTTGGCATTGTCCTGCATCAACTTCTGAGCCTCCTTCTTAATGTCTGCAGCCTATTTAAAGAAAAAGTTCATTTCATTTACATGTATATAATAATGAGATTTTCCAACTGTAAAACAGTTACATCATGTAGGTATAAAAAAAATCGTATTACTGATAAGAAATCAGACAGCATAAAATGCAATGTTTTATTAGATTATTAGACTTCTTTTTCATTAACAGGCACTTGCACAATACAACCTCATTCTATAAGTTCCATTCTATGCATGAAAAACATTAAATTTCAACCATGAAAATTAGTACATAAATAATTTTTTTTAAAAATGCAAAACTTCCCTCCTTTCAAAGAATAAACTGTTATTTTACAAAATAGAAACAAAAGCCTTCTTGATAACTTACAGTGGTTTTAATTCTCTGTGTATTGCTGTCCAGAAGGTCAAGATCAAATGCTGGTAACTGCATAGAGGTAGCTTCTGTGTACAGTTTCAAGGCCACCTTGTAGGCTTCCTTAGCCCTCTCTCTGGCCTTGTCAGCCAATGTCTTGGTCTGGTTGTACAAAGTATCTGCTTCGGAATATCTGCATAAAGTAAAATTGACAATATTTCCACAATAAACAACTCAATACCTGTCTTTCTTTTGGAAGACACATGTACTGCTTGCCTTATCAGTGAACAGAACTTATTGCAGATCCATGTAGGTTCTTAAAATAATTTTATCAATTTTCAAATCTTAAAAGTAAGAAATTATAATATATGGGAGTGTTTGTACTTTTGTCTCAGCATCTGGATTTCCCTGTCTGCCTCATCAGGCATGGCCAATGTCTCTTCTGCAAGACGTTTAGCTTCCAGAGATGTGTTCAAAGCATTCTTTGCCAACATTTCTATTCTCTCAGCTTCCATCTTCTGCCTGAAAGAGTAAGACTTGAAATTGCTTATCTTTAATACATGTACATACATAAAAATCATTCAGGATATCAGACTTCAAATTTACAAAGATCCAATGTTTAATTTAAATTCCTTTTTTTCACAAACAATTTAAGTAACCTTGATAAATGAAATGTTAACCCATAGGTAAGATTTGCTTTGGTAAGAAAAAAGGGCAAATCTTTACATATACATGAATGTCAAGGTTACCTCTCAGCTTCCAGTTTGGCTTCATTTGCAATTTCTGTCATCTGCTTGGACTGGACTCCATGCTGCTTCAGAGCATCCCTGGCTTTCTGTAAAGCTTCTCTTCCCTGGGTGTCTATATACTGCTCCGCTGCCTGCAGTGCAGCATCAGCACGATTAATAGCTTCCTTAGCACTGTCTATGTCCGTCAGGCTGTTGCGGGCCATGGACTCTGCACTTCTGATGTTGTTGGTAATCTCGTTGGATTTTATCATCACATCTCTGATAGCAGTTCTGAGTTCTGACAACTGTTTGCCCATTGATCCATCATCACCTGAAAAAAAAAGAACAACAATGGGTCTGTGTGCATGTAATAGAACTAAAGAACAACAACAATAAAGACAGTGTGCATATAAATAGCAGTTCAATTATAAAGTTTTATCAATATTCATAACAATAACCTTACATATATGCATTTCAAGGGCCCTAATATACTGTAAACTGTACTTATTTTTGCGGCAATAATACTTTAGCACATTTGTCACTGCTTATCGCCAGCTAATTCAAGTACATACTAATATATGATTAAAAGAAATACACAAAGCTTGGCTCCAAAGGCACCAATTCTTTATTACACTGAACAGCTGATAAGGAAGTTGTGCAAATTTTTGAATGCACTTATCAATGTTTACAAGATCAGTTTTCTAATAGGACAATTTTTTCTGATTTTTTTTTTTTTTTAAAAAAACTTTTATCAAGTAACTTTAAAGTAATAATTTGGTAATACATATTTTTAATAGATAACAGATACTGTATGTGAACTTCTAAACAAAATCCTTTTCCCTAAAAGACTTACTGACAGCGCCTCGTGCCTCATCTAACAGCATGACAACTGAGTCGTTGACCTGGTTCATGTAGGCCAGGAACTGAGTATCGTTGAATGCTGCAGGGTTGTTTCCAATATTGACAATTAAATTTTCCAAATCTCTCAGTTTTCCTCTGTGAATATTGACCTGTGTTTGTACTAGTCTGTAACATGGTGGGCACTCTGCAAAAAATCAAAATGTAAACAAGTTCACACATTGCTTTCATGTAAGAAAAAGTTACCTGCAAGAAAAAAGGTGAATATGGAATTCAAAGGTTATTGTACACAGACAAAATGTTTTGAAGATTATACTTGTACATGTAGTAACATGTATTTCAACAATTTGCTGAAATTATTTCACAATTTTTTTTTTGTTGAAAATATCTCCTGAAAGCATTGTTAATACTTACCTATACAGCCAGCTGTGATGTTGTATTTGTTTTCCATACATCTGTCACAATGTTGGCCTTCAATGTTTGTACGACATGGACAATTACCATTCCCATCACACTGCAGGCTCACAGAACCCTCAGGGTCACAGTTACAGGCTGCAAAAGCATCAAATGCAGATAACCATTGAGTATTGTTTTTCTTACTATAAACAATAATTGTCATCTACATGTAAATACTAAAATTTTCTTAATGTCTATAACATTTAAAAGATGAGAAATATCACAGAATTTTTATGTATGTTCTTGATTGGTACAGTCTGTTTTGTTGTTGTTGTTTTTTTTTGGGGGGGGGGGGGGGGAGGAGGGGAGGGAGGCATCAAAACTGATTCCGACTTTTTTTTTTATCAGAACTTACAAAATTTGAATAATTTATGAGTCAATCATTTACAATAACAATCATTGCCAAAGATTGCATCTTTACCTGTACATCCGGTGTTAGAGAATCCATAGTGGTACTGCTGACATTGGTCACACTTGAGTCCTGTCACACCTGGGCGACACTGGCATTGTCCTGTTACCTGATTACAAACATCATTCAAAGACCCCAATGGATCACAGTTACAGCTCTCACAGCCTGTAAACATAAAGATTTATAAAGTAATCCCAAGATGTAAACTTATAAATGTCATAAAATTATTAACAGAGCAGCATATAAAAAAATAAATTCATTTTAATCTGTAACATTACATATCTTAAAATCTTTATGTTTTAGAGCCTGAATAAACATTGTCATACATGTATATTAAAATAGGATTTTTTTTGGCAGGGTATTTTTTGCATAAATAACAAGACTTCTTTCCTGATGGGTTAATTACATGTAAATCGCAGCAAGATATCTATTTTTGATTTATTATGACTGGGAGTAAATACAATTAAGGTGATTTCATAATATTTTCGTACATGTACATGTATTGGGTCATTTACCTGTCCCTGTGTTGATGTTCCAGTAACCCTCTTCACATGAGTCACACTGTCTCCCCACCACATGGTCCTGACAGGTGCACTGTCCATTTCTGGAATCACACTGCAGGCCATTTATCTCCAGTGTTCCAGGGGGATAGCAGTTACAGGCTAAAACGAGTTCAATGGTCAAGATTTCTTATTGAAATTTTATGAAAATGGATTTGAATATTTTGAAACTGTAAGTTACTCATTTTTTCTAATGATTTCATTTTCACAAGGCACTGAACTGCAGGTAGTGTTCTGTGGTTACCAAAGTTTTTACATGTAAATAAAATTTTATTTTCAATTGAAGAAATCTCATGAAAATAGATGGACTGGTTAACAAAGATCCTGAGAATAGAGTGATTAACAGTAGATGAGAATTACCTGTGCAGTTCCCTTTAGGCATGGCTAAGGCATCACCATAGTAATTTGGTAAACATTTCTCACAATAAAATCCATCAGTGTTGTAGATACACTTTAAGCATTCTCCACTTCGTCTAAAAATAGATAATTTCATCATACATTATTACCTATGGTTTTTCAGAACACTATAAAATAGCTTTGTTACAACTTTTTTTTCCCACTTACGAGTCACAGTTGCGGATGGCATTGGGATCAATGTTCTCATTACAAGAACATTTCTGACAAGCTCTGTAATCAGCATGGACCCCAGGTCCTCCTTTAGGATTTCCATGGTAACCATCCAAGCAAATATCACAGAGATTTCCTAAAATCACATGAAGGAATGAAAGAAAAAGTGAGCAAGCTCACATACCCCACGCTTCCCCAAAACTCGACAATGCAACACGTAATGAATGGCACATTGCATTTTAAATACACAGTATAATTCAAAAAAGGGGCATTACTTGCAAAAAATCATCACATCAAAACTTCTTGCATATAAGGACATTCAAATCTTTGTATGTTACAAATTTAACTGGGCTGAAGTTTCTAGATAAATAATGGAATCAAAATTTCTTGGTAATATACAAATCTATACATTATTCTGAAATACCTACAAAGTTTCAGGAAATTCAGTGCCCGAATTATGCTGACAAACTGTTATTTAAATTCCTCAGTGATTTCGATTTGTTAATGAGTGTAAGTCCATGTCCAACACATGACAGTTTACACATTTAAATAATTGATGGAAACAAAATTATGATGTAGTCATATGAATCTGTTTATATACTGTACTTAGGAAATTATTTAAGGCAAAGCACACCAATTTGAAGGGGGGGGGGGGGGGGGGGAGAGAACTATCGAAGATGGTGTGTGTGTGAGTGTGTGTTTGTATTAAACCATTAATATTTTGATCTCAAAATCAATAGGGGTCTTTTAAGGTCATAAAATATTTCACATAGAATTTCATTATAAAAAGCTGATTCCAGTGGAGTTTCTTATTACCTAGCTGGAAAGTTTCTTCAATAAAAGGCAAAACTCTTAAGGCAAAAATAATGGAATTGGAATTTCCTGGTAATATGCACATCTACACACTGTGTACTAAATATCTGCAAAGTTTGTCCAAATTCTGTGCAGCGGTTTAAGAGGAGTTGTGCTGACAAACTGTTCATCTCTATATTCAAGATATGGCCAAAAACCTAAGTTGAAAAGTGCCGAAATTCCCAGAAAAAATAATGGAATCAGAATTTCCTGGTAATATGCACATCTACACACTGTGTACTAAATATCTGCAGAGATTGACCAAATTCTGTGCAGCGGTTTAAGAGGAGTTGTGCTGACAAACTGTTCATCTTTATATTGAAGATATGGCCAAAAATCTAAGTTGAAAAGTGCCGAAATTCCAAGAAAATATAAAGGAATCGGAATTTCCTGGTAATATGCACATCTATACATTGTGTGCTAAATATCTGCAAAGGTTGACCAAATTCTATGCAGCGGTTTAATAGGAGTTGTGCTGACAAACTGTTCACCTCTATATTCAAGATATGGCCAAAAACCTAAGTTGAAAAGTGCCGAAATTCCCAGAAAAATACAGAATCGGAATTTCCTGGTAATATGCACATCTACACACTGTGTACTAAATATCTGCAAAGTTTGACCAAATTCTGTGCAGCGGTTTAAGAGGAGTTGCGCTGACAAACTGTTCATCTCTATATTCAAGATATGGCCAAAAATCTAAGTTGAAAAGTGCTGAAATTCCCAGAAAAATAATGGAATCGGAATTTCCTGGTAATATGCACATCTACACATTGTGTCCTAAATATCTGCAAAGTTTGACCAAATTCTGTGCATTGGTTTATGAGGAGTTGCGCTGACAAACTGTTCATCTCCATATTCAAGATATGGCCAAAAATCTAAGTTGAAAAGTGCCGAAATTTAGGGAAAAAATAAAGGAATCGGAATTTCCTGGTAATATGCACATCTACACATTGTGTCCTAAATATCTGCAAAGTTTGACGAAATTCTGTGCAGCGGTTTATGAGGAGTTGCGCTGACAAAAAAACAGGACTGACGGACTGACTGACTGACTGACTGACTGACTGACACACTGACTGACTGACTGACGGATGGGTCAAAAACATTATACCTCACGCAACTTGTTGCGTGGGGTATAATAATTAACATTTATGTATAAGTCCATAATCTCTTTTTCTTTTAAAGGTGTAAGTGCTCGTTTGAGGTACTTTACAGAATGTTAACTGAAAATTTTTAACTTCCTTTCAACTCAAAAAATATTGTGACTGCTTTTAAATCTTATCATTGAAGATACAGAATTTATCAATCCTTGTTCTTATCTGACATGTCAAGAACAATGTCAAGCATTTTAAGATTTCCCATGTTATACTAAAACCTACTTTGAATATTACTCAGCGTAAATGGGGATACTTACCCCCATGGCCTTCTTTACAAGCTGTACATACAACATCCCCATTGTGTAGCTGAGTACAGGGCCCTCCATCAGGACAGGGACATGGCTTGCAGTCATACTCAGAGCCATTTTTAGGGTTACCATAGTAACCAGCAACACATCTCTCACAGAAATCTCCCTCTGTATTGTGCTGACAGATACATCTTCCTGGAAGCAGAGTATAAATTCAAGAGGTGAATAAAATAAAAGTGCTTAAAATTAAACATAACAGAATTGTAAAGAAACTTTCTTTTGAATTGGCCATAATGTCACTTGAAAATTGAATGTATTCCACTAATTTAGAAATCCTTTTTGTTGATTATTTAAAAAAAAAAAAAATAAAAAATACTTATTATAATCACAATCAACCACAAAGTATGACAAGTTTTCCTCAGTTTATAATCAGTAATTCTCAATGCTTTGAAAGAATAAAATGGCAGTACCTGAATCTGGGTCACAGCTATCCGAGTGTCCAAAACATTGGCAGGGCACACAGGAAGAGAATGGGCCACTGTTGGGAGGGTCTCTCTTGTATCCCCCAGCACATGACTCACAGAACTGTCCTACAAATCCCTCAGGACATGTGCACTGCTCCACCCACGTGGCTGGGTCTCCTCCATTTGACCCAGCTCTAGCAGTGTCCAACTTAATGTTGTCAATGAAACCCACACCTACAAACAAGGAGAATCATTCAGAACAGTTAAGGTTAATGGATGAATGAATCTTAGTATCTGCTTTACCTGAAGGTAGTCGTAAAATTAAGCCATGAAATTACTGTAAATCACTTTTTATTTGTGAGAACTTTATTTTCCAGTAATTACATGAGTGTCTGCTCATGAAAATATCATTCTCACATATATTTGTACTGCTAAGGATTATATACAGCAAAAACCTCTGTTCATGAAAATTTTGTCTGGCTTATAAATACAAAATAGTTATCTCATAAAAGTAAGTCGTCGCAAAAATATAGTGATTTACAGCACTCAAATTGTACAGATACAAACCCTGATTGTTGTAGGTGGCTCTGATCTTAAGTCCAGTCAAGTTAGCCAATATGGATATAAAAGCCTGCGAGTTCAGTCTGGGAACCCATTGTGATTCCTGTCTCTCATTCAGTCTGTACTTAAAGGTTTTGGTTTCTATTGAGGGCTTGTCATTTCCTTGGACAAAAATGGCTGAGGAGAATTGCTGACCAGCTCCCTCAAAGATAATATCCACCACTGAGGGTCTAGAATCCTCCTCCCCAATCCTCAGGTCAAAGGTCAGATGCTGGTTGTAACTGAATCTCTGGTCACCCAAGTAACGAGCTGAAAAGCAACAATATACATGTAGTTATTTTAACAACAATCCAAGTTAATATTTCAGTTTTAAAGATTGAGATTTGATTAAAATTCATACAAATAATTTATCGTAACAGACATAATGAAAGTTGAACTTATCAAGAAACTTTAAATTCACAAAACTATCACTTTTTGAGAACTGAGCCATGTTTAATTGCTATTTACTAGTCTCTCTACACCATACTTGTCAACTTCCAAAATGTAAAAAGTCATAACCCTCTTTGAAAAGTTAAAAATCTGGTCATAAAGCATAAAAACATTCACAAAATATTTACCATGATTATTATATTTCATATTACATATATTCAATAAGCACTTGTATATTGAGAATTATTTTATTGAAAAGAAGTTTTGTTAAAATGGCAAAATTTGAATGTTTCATGAATTAAATTTATTGATTAAATTTACATGATAAAAAGGCATTGAAGGGTTTGTTGTTTAGTACTGAGCTAATTTTTTCTTTCTATATACTGAAAGCCCTTTAAGAATCTGCATTGCTGTTTGGAAGAACAGTTATTCAAATCTGGGACTTATAAACGTCCCTGCTCAAAGGGATTTCTATTTTTATCCTGAATGCGAAAAATATTCCTCACGTTCTTAGCAATCGACATATTACTTACAGAACATGTATCTTATACCCTTAAAACAATGAATTATTTGAATTTGGAAAGACTATTCAAGAAGAAAATTTCCATATTTCACATTATTTTACACATGAACAAAAATATATAAATGCCATCAGTAAATTACCTGGTGCTACAAAATACACTTGTCCTGATCCTGGAGCTGACACCCCCAGGTCCTGTACCAGTCCATTGTACTCCGTGGCAATCACATTGTTAGCTCTGTCTGCAGCTGTCCATCTCTGCTTTCCTGTTAATGATGACACAGTTTTACAATCAGCATCACAGATATTTCTGATTTTTGGATTTAAAAAAATGCTCAATTCCCTCCAAAAGGTTTTCAATAAACATAACATGAAAAGATGTATAACTGTCTAAGTTTCCTTTTATTAAAAAGCATACCTGTCTCAAAATCAGAAATAATGCTGGTAGCATAGTATCCCACAGCACTGGAGCAATCCGAGGAATGACCATAACAGAAGCAGGGGATACAGCCTTTAGGATCATCCTCCCTCAGAGCAAAGTAACCCAGCTTACACCTATAACACAACAAATATATCAAGGTAGACTTTTACAATGCAAACTTCATTTTCTCCTTTCTATGTTTTACATGGAGGTTTTTATAGTTATTCATTTCATTACCTGTCACAGTTGCGACCATCAACATTTTCTTTACACATACAAGTCCCATCTGAGGGATTACATCTGGGAAAGTTATCCTGGCTCCCAATGGCATTACATCCACAGGGTCTGTAAAATACAAATGATGTACTCGATAAATGAAAAACAAATATACAACGTCTCTAAAATAAATTGGTATCATTGGTTCTTTTGCAAATTATAACCTTTCATTCATGACTTCAAAATTAAGTTGAATACGTAAGAAATATATATGTTAAATAAAACTAATGAAACTGAAGCCAAAAAAGGGAAAGTGAAAGTAAACACAGACCTTCAAGCACTGAAATCCCTTATCACTGTTGTGGGAATACAAAGTTGAACTTACATTGTAAACAAAATTCAATTCCCAGCCAACATACCTGCATCCAGTTTGTCCAAAATCATAGTAGTTGTTTTCACACCTGTCACATTTGTCCCCTGTGACCCCTGGTTTACATTGACAACGACCTGCCACGTCACACTGCAGAGTCTCAGAGCCTGAAAAGTACATAGAATCTCAATATCAAATAATTTAACCAGCAACATCATTATACTCTGATTTGTACAAAAAACAGAATCATTATGTCTAACAAAACCTTTTCAGTCATATCCCCAATTTTGATTTATTCTTCCAAAATTACTTTGATTTATCATTATTTGAAACTTTATACCAAATAATTACATGTACATAATTTGTTTCAATTATTGTTGTACTTGTATGTCTGGTCTTTATTTATTAATACAGTAATAATTTTCTAATCTCGGAATCATACACAACTTTTCTTAAACTGTATTTTTCGAGAATATAGAAAATGCCTGGATTTATCTGTTATTTATAGATCAATAGCTATATGTATGTATAACAAGTTGCCTTGGATTCTATTTTTTCAGTTTCTCTTGTGGAAATGACAAAATAAAGGTTCTAAATTCATATTTTGTTTTCACTCATAATTTTTCATTTAACAGTGTGTAACTCTTGCTGAATCACAAAAAAGCATCCCAAAAGTTACATTAATTACTGTAAACAAACTTTTTTCTATGGGGTCATAATTCCGCAGAATCACAATTTCTGTTCAATCTGCAGGTAGAAAATTATGCAGATTTCTTAGATTACCACTATAGGCCTTAAATGTACTTAAGTATGCTTGGACAAATTTCCGCAGAAAATTGTGAGTGTACACGGCATAAATTAGTACCACATGGAAAAAAGGTATTTCTACAGTATATCTTGATTTTCTGTACAATAAATACCCACTTACCAGTGGGGTTACAATCACAGGGGGTACACCTGCGGTCGTCAGGCTTGAGGTAGTGGTTGTCCTTGCACCTCTCACAGTGAGGGCCGTCTGTGTTGTCCCGGCAGTCAATACAGTGACCCCCACTGCCTGTTCTCTGGTAAAGATCCTCGTCAAAGTAACAGCGGTCTGCCTTGTTGTTACACTCACAACCTGTACAGAGAGGAAAACAGTTATTCAAAATCACTGTAGGAGAACACCATGGGACTTTTATTTTTTTCATTATCAGCATTTTTTTTGTGTATCAAAAACCCAATAATCTATAGTTTGAGTTTGCTGCTAACCTCAAATACATTTTGAACAAAACTGTGTTGTTTTATTTTCAACATATAATCTCTGAAAAGCAATTTTTTTTTATATGTATTCCATAACTTTGGCATATAAACTTCATTCCATCACATAATTGACTGTGTACAAATATTATGAAATTTCCCTGCAGTCTGAACCATGAAGTCAGTTCAATGACATGCCCCCCAAATTACTCAGTCTGACATCATGCATTCATTTTTTTCAATGAATAGACCTTGTCCATGTCAAGTATAATTCAAAACACATGCACAGATTCTCCCCCAAAACTCCAGACCATTGTGGTAAAACAACCACCTGTCAAATTAAATTTTCATTTGCTCTCTTACCATACAACATGTAATCCTAATCCTGTATGCATGCATGCGGAAAGAAAAAAAGTCCATTGAAATGTAAATAATTTCACAAAATCCAAAAATTTCAATCCACAGTTTTATGTTTGGTATCTTCTCAGAGTATTTACATAATAAAATTGTAGGTATATCATGCCTTTTGATAATCTGGGTTGCCACAGTTATAATACATTTCTTAAAATTACCATTTTTTTTTTTTCAATTAAAATGTAGAGACAAAAATTTCCATGGAAATCTTACGTTTGCATTCATTAGCACTGGTCTCTGTGGCCCTGGCCCATGGTTTATCGTTGAACATTGGGAGACATTTCTCACAGTTGATCCCATCTGTGTTGTGTTGACACCTGCAGATCTCCCTCCTCTCAAAGGTGGGGGTGGGTCCCTGTCCCAGGTAACACTCCTGGGCATGACCATTACATTTACACCTGAATTAATATTTGAAAATTATCATCAAAAGCAGCAAACAGTTACACTTAAAAACATAAGAAAGTTGCCAGTGATAATGATAATCTGAAGTCTACACAAGAATCTTCCAGTTTATATTTGCTTTGAACATATAATTCTTTTATCATTTTTGAAATATGGGCACTATTAAAAAGAAACTTTGGGTTTTATTTTACTACCACAAAAAGAGCGATCAATGAAAATCAAAAGTTTGGAGGAAGAAGTTTGTATCAAAATCCTTTTTTTTTTATTGACATCAAATCATGTTTGTGAAATCAAATTCACTTACAAAATGTATAACCTACAATACCGGTATGTACTTGAGCTGTGCAGGATCAGTTAAGAAGTTCGTTAAGCAAGTGCAAACTCTCAAATTTCTATTAAGTATCAAAATCTTCATCATGAAAATCTCATGCACACTTTTCTGGTGTTGTATTCATGATTTTATTCCTTCTATATGACTTGAATTTGACCCATGAAACCTTTCATTCACAAACACAAAAGGGTCATTCAACTTCAGATCTTAACCATGTTATCAGAATTTTCCAGCTTATGTTTGACGGATCAGATGATTCATATGTGAAAATATGATCCACTCTGATTGTTAATTTTTTTATTCACACGAACTTAAAATGGAAATAAAACATGCAGACTAAAACCAAATATTTTGCAACAAAAAAATGTTCACACATGTACAGAAGCTAGACATTATATAGTACCTGGCTCCAACAGACAAATCAGAGATGGCGTAGAAATAGGATTTAAGGACTTGAGCATCACCGAATACTTCATCACCAAAGGTGTTCATGCGTGTCAAGGATATTCGAATGGCAGTAGCTGTTACCCATTCCTACAAAATAATTAATCATCATTAATAACAAAATGTGTTTTTCATAATTAATTTCACAGCTGATGGTCATTTTTCCTTCCCACTTTCTTATCATTCCACAATGTGCAAGTATTGAAACAATTTTTTTTTTCTATTTTATTCTAAAAAATTTAATTCACAGTCAGGATGATGTTTTGAGATGACCCCTGGTAATTCCAGCTGATTGGTAAGTAGCACATGTTAGCAGTACATCCACTGACCCACTTTTCAGGTAGCTGATTCTTAAGAAATCTACACACAGTCTACCCTCCATACACCATTTACACCAGCTTACTATCTGATAAACTGTCCAAAATATCTCCCAGCATGACATATTTGGACTGCTGTTGTTTTAATTTTACAAAATAATCCCTGATTGAATAGAAATTCAATAATAAAAGAGAAACATTATTTTCAGTTTGAAAAGGAAACACTGTCCTAAAGGATTCAGGATTGAGATTTACTTTAAATATATACACAATCAGTTTTACATACAGTAATCTTAGAATGCTTATACATCACTCAACAATATTCACTTATTTCATTTGTACATTGGCTACCACTAGTATTGATACAACCAGGGCTGTCCCATTAGGACCTGGGGGGTGAGGATTTCTCCACCTATAATGATGTAATTCCCCCCCCCCCCCCAGTTATTCTGGTATTCCCCCTCAACACTCTTTTAGGAGAGGAAACCCAAACCCCCTTCTACTTTTTTAAATGTTGTCTGAAATTTCAATTCTCAGGGACAACCCTGATACAACCAATAAAAAAAATCCCATGTCAATATGAATATAAAGGAGTAGACAATTGACAAATACATGAACTTCACACTTTCCATTAAAATATTTATCCCCTATCACACCCTTTAAGTTATTTTTGTCTACTCTGGTAATACCCCCATATAAATCTGTATTTTATATGTCTTTTATCATTACAGACCACCCTAAAATGTCCAGGTGACCACTTTTGACCGCAAATCTGTCTGGGTTCTTTACATTCCTTTCTCCCTAACAAATATATCTGAATATATCTAGAGCAAACATAATTTCTGGACCAAAGCCTGCGTGAACTGCTTGGTATAACAGACGCTATACATGTACAGGGTAGATCTTATTTGTCTGCATGACAGATGCTTATATGAACTGTGATAATCTACATGTACACTTGGCTACAGAATATAAACTATTAAAAGTGGACCATCTCTATCTTATGAATTCTCTCTCTCTCTCTGCATTCTATGCATACATTCCTAAACTTATACCTATCTCAGAGGTCAAAATAAAGCCAATTCATCACACATTATTTACACTTGCCACATTTAACAGTGTTACCATTTCACATCAAGGACTTTTAAATAACTTCTTTCATTCTTCTTAAACCAATATTACAAGCACTTGACATTTCCAAGCTGGTTTGTTTATATTAAATATATGGAATAAAAATAATCCTTTGTAGTCATGAAATTCATCTACTAGGAATTCTACATTGCTTACATTTGTGTCAAATTCGCTAAATAGGTTCCTTATTTGACCAGTCCGGTTTCACATGTCATTTTGGGTGGTCAAGCACTTTGTGTCAATAGATTTGTTCCTAATCTCCTTAAATCAATCTTCTGTGACAATGGAATCACTTTCTTTTTTCATTTTCTCAATTGCACTTGAAGTATTTGCACTTGAGTGAATGACATTCATCTTCAAGTGTACTGTTGTGCATTCTTTGTTACATAGATCACACAAACATACGACAATTGTTAAACAATCCCTAACATATATGTACAAAGTGTTAAAACTCTGCTGAGATTTCAAACCTAAACCACAAAACAAAATAAAGCAATCTATCTACAATTGTAAATTCATTTAAAATTGTCATTCATTTGGCAATCAGTACATGTAGTATGTACAAACAATGTTGACAGAGAATATTTCACAACATATATGCATACCCCTCAAAGCATTTCATTTCAGATTTTATTTAAAAAGTTTAAAGTTTAGAAAGCACACACAAACCAAATGTGATTATGTAACATCATAGTTATCATAGAATGCCATTTTTTTTTTTTTTTTTTTTTCAAATTTACCTTTGAATTTTAATTAGCCTTTGCCTGCTTTTTGATGTTCAATTTCAAGCTTTCGTATTTTGCAAACAATAACATATTAAACTGCCAAACTTTAATTCAGGTGAACTCCACCAACCTCTCAAATCCTGATACACTACCACTCTTTATTTTAAAATTTAATTAAATAGATATAATGAATCTACTCCATGAAAATATGTATACTTATCAAATGTACACACCTGCAGTAAAGGACTGTTCTCAAAATCAAAAGCACTGGGTCGCCCCTCCAATGTACTGAATGGTACACTGCCTCCAGTCAGGGGGGAGATGTTACTGTACTCATCTGTACAAATTGCCTCCCCTTCGTTCTCTTCTGTGATAATACCCCGTCTTTCCTTTCCATACGTCCTCTCACAGGAAGCACTGTAAAACTGATAGGGAGTCCAGTCACTATCGTCTGTTGATTTCTTGTAGATGGCAAAACTTTCTGGTCTTGGGGAATGGAAACGTAGCCTTACATAGGTTACATCATAGGCTTTGTCTATTTAAAATAATAGAAAAATGTTACTGTAAAACCTTTTAATTGTATATATTTATCATCTGCATTGCTATGTATGAATCTTTATAACAGTAATTAACATGCAGATTTTAACAGAGATATACATGGTTATGAACTCAAAAAGCTGCACTTTGATTGAATAAGAGACTAGAATGCCAAATTGCTCCAATTTTAATAAAGTTTTACACCATAGAGTTACCAGATAAATTTTAACCCTCCTTTTCTTTGGGAGGATAATTTTCATGGTTTTTATCAAAATACTTCAGAATAAAGTTTATTTAATGCCAATGTGGAGTGATGGTAGATATATACATTATAATTTGAACACACTTGCTTCCCTAAAGCCAATTTTCACAAAAACCACCTAATACTCTTAGCAATTCTTAACATGATAACTTAAAGGCTCTCAAGACAAACTTTGGTCATATTGGGAACAAATTACAAATTCAAAATCAAGAAATGCCAGATTATAGATTTTTTGAAGTATTATTTTGTTGACAATGTAGCTTTAATAAGAAAAAAAAATGATGAATACTGTAACATTTCCATATTGGTTCAATCAAATCTTGGGAAAATCATGATTACTTATTACGAAAAAAAATAAGCTTTTTACGGGGAATGGCAAGTTATATGTGATGCTTGTAAATAAGTATAACCCTCTGTTCATACACAGCATGTATATACTGCTCATGATAGAATGTGCTAGTGTGAAGTTCTGACAAGATAGACTTCTTGTTTATTGTTCTATATGTGTTATACAAACATTTTCAGCATTTGCCACACCCTCATAAGCATACACTATGCAAACACACTGGAAGCTGCTCACAACATTTCAGCAGCTAGTATCTAGTGAATGGTGAATGAATTCTACAGAATCCTTCTCTGATAAGAAACTGTCAGAAAAATAGAGGCAAGTAAACCACACTAAAAATAGCATTAATTAACATTATGACATTCTGTCCCGAAACTCTTGTCATTTACCCCCTCCCCCCCCCCCCCTCCCCAGCTCAAACACCCACTCTTAAAGGTTATGAAATCAATTTCCATCCCCCAAGAATAGCTCTGGAGATGACCCCTAGAGTTTTTTCCTTGCTGCTGGATGATAAGGTCAGGCTTTTCTTTAGGAAGCTGTTATCTATAAAAGATAAGCAAAATCACCTGATAAGACCCCCCTCTTCATCCCCAATAATCCTGCTTAAACACCATTTAAAACACACTGTTTAGGGATATAATGTTCAGTTTGTGACTAGGGTTTTCTTTCTCCCACAGGATTTAACAGACAGATTAAGTAGCCCTGAAATAAATGGGTCTGACATAAATATGTAGATGTTTATGCTCATCTGAGAAAGTTATGCAATCTTGTCTGAAATTTCTCCCTTCATTCACATATCAGGAGAAAAAAAATTGTTATGTATGCAATTACATCTGCTATCGTTTACTCAGGTATATGAGCAAATTGACACTTCTGTCCGTGTCACAAGCCAAACATGAGTAATTTGTCAACAGCTAAAATTATCATGTGAATTTTAAATTGTTGACATTTTTTGTCAAAACAGTATTAAATACACTATGCTTGTTGCATAATGAAAAACCCTGTCTTATGTAATAGAGAAGTTTTTGAATCATGCTAATTAAACTTCATTAAAAGCTCCCCCCATGGTGGTTTTGAGTAAACTCAATCATCTACAGTTCCCTTTTCCAAAAAGACTACTAAACAATATTTGAAAATGTGTTTATTTAACATGTTAAAGTTTTTAAAAAAAGTTATAAGAAACACATATATATTTTTTTTAAAATAGAAATATTTTTACTGCAAATCCTTTGAAGTCAGAATGGAGAAAAATAGACCTCAAAATTATTAACTGTGACACTACACATGTATCTTGTAGCCAATCAGTCTGATACTGAAATGTACATGACATCAGACAAAATGTGGTGTTCAGAGGTGCAAAAAGTGCCAGATTTCAAGCCTGGGAAACACTGTTAATACACGTTCAGCCTTTATAATGAGTGGCATTAACAGCATCCTTTACTAGGATTCTGCAACCACCAAACATCTTTGTAATTAAACCTTTCAGAATTTTTTTAATCTACTATGTATATTTTTACCCTTTGTGGTTTTGTTATTACACAAAAATATACCATGCGGAATAAACACAAATTCAGCAATAAATATTTTAGTTCGGAATATTTACTCAGCCCTTTAATTTGATCTTTTATCTACGGTGTGGAATTTGAAATAGAGAGGTCAAGTGAGAGTAACCCAGTTAGATGTATGTCAGGACAAATTTTGAAAAGCTTGTATTGCAGAAAAGGTTTGGGTGACTCAGGTGATAGACAGCATTAAATATATAAGCTATGTACCTAATATTATATCCCATTTCTCCCACCTGTCTGAAATATCCAGTCAGACCACATGCTTGCAAAAAATCACCTGAGACAAGTTATAATTAAATTTAAACGTCTACTGCAAATGATTGAACTATTCCTAATACAGTAAAAATGTAATAGTGAGACTAAGCCTTTGTTCAAGGAAATCAACTGATTCAAGCATTCTCCCTGGAAACCACAAGCTGTAAAATCTACTAGCTGTGGTATGCCGCAAAAGAGGTTATCGGCTAATTTTTTGTAAAAATTATCTTTGCTTTTTCATCTCGGCTGCTTTGCAAGTGAATGGAGATTTTCATTACTACAACGGTTGCTCTTAAGAATATTCTTGTACCACTAACATCATACTCCACTGAACTTCAGAAAATTTCTCAATTTTCCCCACCATGTCGAACACTTACCAGGTTAAAGATCATTGACACAGGGAAAGACTTAGCTTTTGCCTATTTTGCTAGATAAATAGGTGTAAGAAGATCCCTTGGTATGCATGTAGACATGTAAATTAACTATACTCTAGTACTTGTAAGAGTGATCTAGTCTGTTCTGTTTGCTGAATTTACATAAATTTATGTAGTTTGAAACTGATCTTCCAAAAGATGTAGTGCACAATGCGGAAAATAATGTCTTGACAGATTATAATATTGCAGAAAATCTATATAATTACATTTTTTCATAGTAATCAGTTTTGTACATATTGTAAGAATACTTCCTTTGACTTGTATAAGCATGATAAGAAAGGAAACCCTTTTTGAGATTCAACTTTTACTCCCAACTGGTCAATGCAATGCACTTAACCCTTCTTTTGACAATATTCACTTCTCATTTTGAGAATTATATTAGGATACTTTTTTTTTTTACTTACTTAAATGAAGAGTTAAGTTGACTACTACAGGGTATTGTATCCCTTCTAACATTGTATCGGATTGCCACCACGTCCAATTATTGTTGTTATTAAAATCCGTCATGAATTCGGGGGGATGGCTATACCCCGGCCTCTGGGCGTCGCAAATTTGGCACTGCTTCCTGACCCCCGTCACCCCAGTCTGTAAACAGTATTCGGTGGGTCTCGTCAGACCACACGTGTTGGTGGCATCAACAGTTTTTCCAAAGGCAGCGTTCACAAAAACTGGCATACATCTTTGAGCATTACCCTGTGCATTGTAACATGCTAAACTTGGTAAATTTTCTATTTCCTTTTGTCCATTTGAGATATGAGGTAGAAATCCAAGATATAACACAATCACAGCTAGCTTACACATTTTACAATCCGTCAAACTCGAAGAGTGTACGGACTTCATCCTTTTCCCGTCCGCCATCAAATATAGTGTACAACAGAGCCGTGATGCATGACGGGAGTTAAACTTTATTGCGGGAAATTCAAAACTTTTACATTGCTACCGGAAGGGAGAGAACTCTTAAAACCACATTACAATAGACCAACATTTTTCATTGAAGTATTCTTTAACTGATTATTCTGTCTGGAGTGTTTTATTCTAACTGTATAAATATAGTTAAATATATCAACATTTTCAAATAAAAATATTATTTTTTTATGCCCCCGTATCGAAGGTTCGGGGGTAAATAGTTTTTGCCCTGTCCGTCTGTCTGTCTGTTTGTCTGCAAAAACTTTAACATTGCCCATAACTTTTGATTGGTTGGAGCTATGGCTTTCATATTTCACATGTGTATTCCTTGTGACAAGACCTTTCTTTGGGTACCACATATTTGACCTTGACCTTGGAGTTTGACCTAGTTTTACAAAATTTTACCCAACTTTAACCTTGGCCATAACTTTTGAGTAATTGGAGTTAGGGCTTTCATACTTCACATGTGTAATCTTTTTGACAAGACCTTCCTTTGGATACCAACAACGTTGGAAAGTTAAATAACGTAAATGAATATTACGAGCGAAATAATGTCAGATTAATTAATTTTAAACGTACATTGTTATATTTTTACAACAATGTAAAAGAGTAATTATTTTTTAATTAATTTGAGCCAAAACAATTATACATTTTGATGTTCCTAGTGTATTGAAATTTTATGTGTATATGTAGTTCTTATTATGTACGTGTATAATTCTAGGTACCGCGCCATGACTACGTACAATGTATCAGTCGAAAACGATATATTTAAAAACAGCTTATAGAGACAAAAGGGTTACATTATCGATAACATATAGTGCATATTAGAATACAAAAATAGGAAAAAGGTGACTTGATCCCAGATTTAAAAAGAAGAAAAAATGGAAAAAGGGGTGGGGGTCCATACCTCAAGTGCCTGTGACCGTGGCAAGGTTTCGACCTTTGTGTGTGTTATACATGTAGGGTGTTGAATGTTTCAAATTTCCAATAGACTTCATTAAAAAAAAATACACTTAATGTATATATATATTTTAAAAGAGATTGTATCGCATAACAAAGAATTAATCTCTTTATCAACATTCTTTTACTCTTAATATGTATGTAACACTCATGCTGCCTCTTGAGAACCTTTAATAGGTTATAATTAAAAATCGATGTTCAAGACTACATTTGACAGTTAGTTAAATTAATGAACGCAAACTTTAAAAAAAAAAAAAAATAGATGACAACATACACTCACAATGCTGGTAGTTGTTCATGTCCTATCAAAACTTTGTTAATTTCGGGTGGGGCGCCCCTCGCCATCCTCCAATGGCAGAATTACAATCCCCAATACTTTTACATGTACCTTTCTTTTATACGATTCTCATGCACCTGTGAATTTTTACCTATTCACTTAAATTGCCTGATTTCATCATCTGATAATGTCCCTCTTTCATCTGTTATTTTAGTTTAACTGTCAATATATTAACATGATTTATAACGCTTTAGATCTATATAGCGTGTTATAAAATATTATATACATGTACATTCTTATGGGATTAATAGCACGTAAAATGCGTAAAATGATCATTAAGGTAGTCGATCCTCAGGTCCTGAAAATCAACAGTTGGGTAAATTTAAAATTCTTACAAAAATGTCTCTAAATTCTCAAAATAATGTGTATCTACCCATGGTATTTCTTCAAAGTTCATCATTAAAGTTAATCATATTGTATAAGGAAAATTATTAAATTTCTAATATATTTTCAGGAAATGCAAACCATAGTCCCCGCTATGCATTTTCTAATTGAAAATTGATCAAAAAGTATATTTTACAATTAATAAAAAAAATTATAGATATCCAGGCATCTGGAGAAAAGTGCATGTTTTATTCGGTACTTCAGTTCTTTTGTTTAGTTCAATTGTTATAAAACACATAGTGTAAAATGTTTGTACTATCATTGTAAGACATCACAGATCACTTCTAATTTCATATTATGCAAATAAACATTGGTATCTAAGGCTAGATGAAAGGAAATTCGTTTTCTACAAAAATGCATCTATTTTTCTACTTCATGGGGTACGAATATCAAATTTAAAAAAAAAAAAACCGTTTCTAAAACTTCAAAGATTCTTGAATCATACCGAGATGCATAATATGATAATTGTTGCACGAGAAGATTTCAATTTCAATCTTAATTTTGATACTTTTATAAATTAAATGGTAATTTTAAGAGTTATGCTTCCTGGCTGAGGATCGGATATCCTTAAAATTCTCAACGTCACATTACTTTAGGACTTCAGAATTATTTCAGTAATAAGTTTTCTGAAACAGATCGACTAACAGGACCTCATGTACTTTGCAGTCCCCTCAATGTACATGGCATGTTAATTTCCCTTACATTTGTATATGTATGGAGTTTTTGTCCCCCGCTTTCGCGAAAGCGAGGGGACATTAAATCTCATTCGTCTGTCCGTCTGTCTGTTTCAAAAACTTTAACCTTGGTCATACATTTTGAATGACAAAAGATAGGTCTTTCATATTAGATATATACATTACCTGTGTCAAGACGTTTCCAAATATACTATGGTTTTTGATCCAGTGACCTTGACTTTGAAGTTTGACCTAATTTTCAAAAAATTAACATTACTTTAAATTGGTCATAACTTTTGAATGAGAAAAGACAGGGCTTTGATATTATACATGTAAATTACCAGTGACAAGACCTTTCCAAATATGCTAGTCTATCATTTTTGACCTCGTGACATTGAAGTTTGACCTAACTTTAAAATTTTTATCTTTGCTTTTAACTTTTGATTGAGAAGAGATACGGTTTTCATATTTGACTTGTGCAATACCTGTGATAAGACCTTTCTGAATATGCTATGATACTTGACCCCGTGACCTTGACCTTGAATTTGACCTACTTTTCAAAAGTTTCAACATTGCTTTAAATTGGTCATAAAATTTGAATGAGAAAAGATAGGTCTTTCATATTAGATATATATATTACCTGTGACAAGACGTTTCCGAATGTGCTATGGTTTTTGACCCCATGACCTTGAAGTTTGACCTTTTTTCAAAACATTTATCTTTGCTTATAACTTTTGATTGCGAAAATATAGGTTTGTCATATTTGACATGTGCATTACCTGTGACAAGATGTTTCCAAAATATTTTATGATATTTGACCCTGTATCCTTGACCTTCAAGTTTGACCTAATTTTTAAAAAAAATGACTTTGGAGATTACTTTTGAATGACATATGACAGGGCGTTCATATTTGATAAGTGCATTACCTGAGCCAAAATGTTTCCGAATATGCTATGATATTTGAGCCTCATGACCTTGGCCTTCAAGTTTGACTTAATTTTCAAACATTTTATCAGTGTTGCTAACTTTTGAAGGAGCGAAGATAGGACATTCATATTTGACACGTGCATTACCTGTGACAAGCATTTCCAAATATACTACATGTGTGATTTTTAACCCCATGAATTGTCATTGAAGTTTGACCTAGTTTTCAAAAAGTTGTGCTGATAACTTTTGATTGAGAGAAGATATGGCATTTACATTTGATATGTGCATTACATGTTTCAAGACCTTTCCGATTGTATACGGGTTTTTTTTTTTTTTTTTATACTTTTTTCACATGTGCATTACTTGTGACAAGACCTTTCGGACTGTATTATAATATTTGACCTCATGACCTTGAACTTGAAGTTTGATGTAGTTTTGAGAAGCTATAATCTTTGCCATAACTGTTATTAATTCAATAATTTAAGTCTTTTTTTTATGATGCACAAACAACACAGGACACACAAACAAGACAGTTGCAATATGCCATAAATAATGGCATACCATGCACTAAGACATCGAAAGCGGGGGACCACAATTCTTTGAATTTGCTTGTTTTCTCCATTTATTAGCGGAAAAGATGCTGCACATAAACAGGATTTTAAAAGTTCATTCTTTCTTTTTAAAATGTAAAATCCTCCCAATAACAACCATCAAACAATATCAAACACTATTTTCTCAAACAGATCGACTCACATGACCTCATATACTTTGCAGACCCCCCCCCCCCCCTCCATGTACATGGCATGATGTATACAGAGCGACACCATGCATCTAAGCTCTTACATGTAGGTATGGTCTTCTAGTATACATTTTAAAAATCGAGTTAAAAGTTAAGGAATTCATCATGCAAAATTATTGAGAAAAATATCTAATAGCACATATTTTGAAATTAAAAGTTTACATAGTTTTTCATTGTGTACTACTGCATAAATCACTTCTTCATTATTAAAAAAAAGGGCCACAGTCACCTGAGTCACTTTGACCAAGAATATTTTTTTTCTTTTTTTAAAAAAAAAATCCCTCTTTAATTTTATGAATATTTTGAATCCATGCCATGGACCAAAATCTAGACCCAAAGGAGTTACAATTTATTTAAAGTCAGATCAACACAGCATTGGGATGGTTCAAATGTGTGTGTGTGTTTGATTTGAACATATTTTATTGTAATATAATACATACAAAAGGATTGGATACATGTTCTTTCAACTTAATAAATCCTCTCCTTATTATACAAACAATGAATACAATGTGATTGTCATAATAAATAAATTGAGATAATTTACGAAAATTTATGTTGTACATGTAATATATATGAAAATTATAAAGACACATACTCTGAGTAATCTACCAGAGCTCTAATGTTACATATACACTGATTACAATGTTTATTGAACAAGAAGCTTTCATGTTTGCTAAAACATTTAAAATTTTCATTCTGCATATACATATTGAAATCAAGACACTGTTTTGAATTAGAATCTATCTGATTCTTGAATAAATTTCTGGACACTACAGAAAATTTGAAAATTTGCATCGGTAGACTGATTCGTTTCCACATAATAAAAAATGAGTGTCTATTATATTTTGTTGGTTAAGTTGAAGAATAGTGTTTATTAAGTAATTT